GAGTTGAGCTTTTCGTCTTCACGGCGAAGTAGCTTTCGCTCATCGTTCAGACGTTCAAGTTTGTCTTGCGCCTTATTGACCTCTTCTACCAGCTTTGCCCTGTCACCACTGTAATTCGCCAGGTTAGCTCTCAGTGCAGCGACAGTCTCCTCTGCCCGAGCGATGGCATCATTGACTCTTGCAACTTCCTCGTCAGCGTCGATCTTGTTCGCCTTTTGCTCCATGATAGTGTTGGAAAGCTCCTCGATCTCAGCTCTGAGGAAGGCATCGCGCTCTGACTTGTTCTTGAACCGAGAACCCCGATTTTGCTTGGCGAAAAGCCGGGTGCGTCGACCTTCGACACTGTCCAGATTTCTGCGAACCTCGTCCTCTTCGGCCTTAGTTTTAATATAGTTGGGGTTGATTTGCGACAATTCCTTCTCCTTGGCAGCAATCTCGGCCTGAACAGTTGTGAGCTCTGTGGAGTACTGTTGTTGGGCCAACTCTTGTGCAGACTGTCCATCTTTGAGGGTTTTGGCCTTCAATTCCACCTTGGCAAGGTTCTTTGCGCAATCGCGACGATCTTCTTCCAGCTGCCGTCGATCAATTTGGAGCAGCTCCATCTCTCTTTGCAGTTTATGCATCTCAGCATCCAGCTTGGCAATAGCCTTCTTGGTCTCGAGCAAGTCTGAGCGGCTTGAGTCTGTTGTGTCAATGCCGTCTTGGCGAGCCGAGTCAATTTCCTCGAGTGCTTCTTGAATCGTAACCTGCTCGCGGTAATGGTAGGCATACTCAAGACAACGCCTCTCGCGGTCTTTGTCCTGGTAGCCCCGCAGCTCTTCCTTCTCTTCCTCGAGCTCGCTGAGGCGCTCTTTGATGTATTCGAGAAGTTCGTCAATCTTTTCCCGCTTATTGTTGGTCTCGTTCATAATCTTTAGCGACTCTGCACGACGAGTTTCGTACACCTGTGTTCCAGCAACTTCCTTGAGGAGGTTGAGTCTTTCTGATTCCTTCATGTTGGTCAGGGCGGTGACACGGCCCTGGGGTACGATGTAGTATGGGTTTGACCTCGAAAATCCTGCAGCTTCGAGGAGATTCATCACGTCTGTCTTGGTAACCACTTTGCGATCAACGGAGTATTCGTCCTTCTTCAGCCCGATGGTTCGGCGCAATGTAACCTCCTTGTTGCCGGTAGGAAAACGGTCGTCGCTATTGTCAAAAATCACCTCGACGTAGGCTGACATGACGGCGGAGCCAGAGCCTTCGTGGAGAAGACCCTGGCGCTCCTCTCGGCTCATCTGGGTGTAGGCATCGCTGAGGACGAACCGAATAGCTGCGAAGAAGTTACTCTTTCCAGATCCATTGCGACCAACAATTACGTTTGTTTTGGGCGAAAATGGTTCGATGACTGTCTGGTCCTTGTAGCTGCAGAAATTTGGTCAGCGATCGCAGCAATATGACGGCGCGTGTTCCGTGGGCAATCGCACCTTTTAAAGCCTTGGATGATGATCTGTTTGATATACATGATGAGGTTTAATTGCCACTGGTGCGTGGCATAAGGACGGCAGAAGTGTCGACAATCTGTAGATCTGCCTGCGCTCGGTCGAGCGTGGTTGCGTGTGGTGAGGAACAATTCGACGCGTCCTACCCAAACCGCGATTAAGTGTTTAACCTGGAGGATGTGGGCTGCCCACTTCCAGGCGCGCGCCTTCCAACCTAAGCTGAACGCACTTTCCTGCTGTGCCACGTGCATGTTGCCTACCCTATACCCTGCTACCTGAGCTCTGTTGACAGAATGGCAGGTACCTATTTATCTCCATCAGCGCATCTCATCGCATGTTAGTCAATGAGCATTGCTCTTGTGTACTGGTCGTTATGTCTCTAATGGAATTGTTGGGTGGAATCTCGCTTTTGGTGGTGCTGTTTATGACGATCTCCATCATGTACTTCGCAGTCGTTCTTTGACGTGTGCCAGGGATAGCCCAGCTTGCCAGCGTTCCGAGAAGCTACCCCCACGAGGTACATACACGCATGATGATCAGCTCGGCCGGTTCAGTCGTAGCCGGTCTTGCTGCATGGAAGGTTATCACACCATGTAGCTCTCGTCGACCATTCAAAATGACACAGTATTTTATCACACATTGCTTCCACAACACCAGACACACCCACCACCATCACTAGGGTCAAGCAGTACCGGGTATTCTCGTGTTGAGGCACGACCGACACTGGAGCTCCTGCTCGCACGGGCGGCTTCACCAGTAACCAGGATCTGTTCTCGAGCTTGCACACACTGTCGCACTCTGCTGCAATCCATCTGCAGGGGCGGCTCTATCCCCAGGTTTTACATCTTGGGCAACGATTAGCTCTCCTAGGTACCAATGTGTGAGTGCCACTTCCACTAGAATGCGCCCCATGCGGCACAATCTGTACCGCTTTCCGAGAAGGGTGTCCTGCAGTTTTGGTTCAGGTCGCAGAGTAATAACATCACCCGATTACGATTGTATCATCTGTTGGTACTAATGTACCCGGATGCGGACCTCCAGGGCGAGATGACACGGAAGTTTACTGGGTCAAGAACTCAATCGCGAGTACATAGTTCGAGCAGGAGATTGCCACGCTTATCCGATGCTTACCTAGCTAGGGCCTTCTTTTGCCCTTCCACCCCAGAAAAAAAAGGAAATGTCAGAAATCGGCAGGAAGCGAAACGATGTCTTGCTCAAGTGTGAAGAAACCAAGCATCCGATCACCAAGCTGACCAACGTAATTGGCGTAACCAGAAACCACTAGCGCATGCGACATTAGGATCGATAATTGACTATGGATTTGCCGCTCCGAGTTGGCTGTGTGGTAGGTACAGACAATCGATCTAGGGAGAAGGTGAGGACAGCTTCCACCGGCACGAGGCCCTGCTTTGCTGGCGCTATCCACAGCAACAGGCAGTCATTCTGAAGCTGGGGGAGCGGCCAGGTACCGAAAAAGCGAACGCCACTTGACAGCCGCTGGCAACGGGAAAGTAGGTACATAGATAAAGAATTATCTTCACGGCACTCCAATCCAAATTCGGACTGGTTCATGGGGGCTTGGCGCGTTAGTGTCAGATGTGTCTTGTAATAAGTTGTCACTGCAGGTGGCTGGAGAGATCTGTCAACTGTGCTCACATTGGTGGTTCGGGGTGTGCCCTGCAACTTGCTCTCAGGCGCAGCTGCTCTGGAGCACATCACCATTGTTGGTGATGGAAGCGATGGATAAGACCTTAACCCATCGCATCCCCGCTACCACCATGAGATCGAGACGCTGCTGGGTCCGCCGAGCGCGCACCTGCATCTAGGCAGCTTCCGCACAGATGGACATGTGTTAGTGGCACATGGTAAATCGCCGGACTCCATCTGGGAACAAGCACCGGTGGTCGATCATGCAAGGGTGGCACTGAAGCAGCAAATTTCACCGGGTTGCATGGGTTCAAATCGTCGCGGACCATCTCTTCGAGTCGTTGGGTTTTCGGGTCCTCTTTCGCATCACCGTCAGCAGTCCTTGTCACCGCCTACGAAGGTTCTTCGGGCATCTGCCAAATGAAATGTTTTGGTGGATGGATGACTGAGCGCCTGCTCACTGGCCCTAACAAATTTCGTCATGCATTCATGCCAATGGGCAGCTTGTGGCAGCTGGACCACCCTCAGCATCCCCGGATTGCTGCTGATGGTAGCCTAAGCACCAAATAGTAGGTGACACTAGATCAAAGGGCTGAGTGGCTTACTTCGAGGGTGTTGTTTGCTACCTGATTTACTACCTACAACGCCGGGATTGGCGAATGGAGGATGGCGTGGAAGTACTAGCTGGCTAAGTTTGCTCTGGAGTGCGTGAGCCACGGAGCCAGAATGAGAATGAATGGAAGCAGTCAGTCTACCTCCAGGTCACTACCTTAGTAAAGAACGGGCCAAAAAGGGCTTCAAGTAATGGGATGGAGGGGCAGCAATGGCGTAAGTAGTAGTCAGGACCAACGGGACTCTCAGGAGGCTGGAGCAGGGGCCTCCTAGACCACCCTAGCCAAAGGCAAAAAGGGAAATTAAGCGACTGGCCAGCAGGGAACCGTTGGGGGGGGGGAAGGGAAGGAGCCTGCTGATGGGCCGCGCGACCCGTGTATAAAAATACAGGTAACCAACATATACAAGGCCCGGCCTGCCCTCCACCCGATTTCTCCCAATCCACTCCTGCCCGCCGCCCAGCAGCTGTGCTGCACCCCGAGCCCGAGGAGCGCAATACATAATACGACACCGCAGCAGCCAGCACCACCACACATTTGGAGGTCTGCACCGCCCACATCGTCACCACCAGCCACAGAGAGCTCCAGGTCGCCTCTTACTCTAATTTATCTATATCTATGCGACAACCACCCCGGCAGCTGCGATGAAATTCTCCAGTGAATGAGCGCACTTCCGTTCACCCACCCATCTTCCTTGCACAATTACTACTAAACAGGTGCATCCAAGGCAGTGGTTTGGCCGATTTTTCTGCCCACCCAACCCGGCTAATCTCCGGGAAACCAACTCGCCTTATATTCACAGGTAAGTAAGTGTATTGATGGGATGAAGTCGGGCTCTGTTTGCAACATCACGTTCATCCAAATCGAATTCGCGTTTTGTTTTCTCATAATATTTGCCTTTGTCTTATCCCATGCCTATCCCTTACCCTTGCGCCTTGTACCTGTACCACCGTCGTGTATTGCAGACACTTATCCTTCCTGCCTTGTTCTGAGTGTGTTGTATACTGCCTGAACACATATTCCTTCCCTTACATTCGGCTGCCTCCACCCAGAAGCAATGCATTTCTCAAGCGAAACTATGCTCATGACTCCAGCATTGTTCCCTTTTGAATTCTTTCCTTATTTAAGTGGGAGTGTAGTGGACGTTGCGCTTGTTCCTCCCTGGCTGCCTTTTCTTTCCAACCTCTGTGTCGTCCATATCTAACTTGGGAGAAGCGCTTTGTCATGCACATAATTAGGACCAATTAGAGCTTCAACCAACATGGCTTCAAGACTTGATAGACTGGTCACCATCTTGGAGACTGGTAGTACAAGGCTCATTCGAGACACTGCTGTCAACCAACTGGCTGACTGGCAAAAGCAACACCCAGATGAGCTTTTCAACCTGTTATCCCGGGTTGTGCCATACCTGCGGCACAAAGATTGGGAAACCAGGAGCACAGCAGCCAAGGCTATTGGGAAAATCGTGGAGCATGCCCCTGTTCATGATCCCAACTTGGAGGATGGGCCCGATGAACCAAAGAAGGAGGAAGCTGAGGTCAAGAAGCAAAAGGAAGAGGACGACCAATTAAGTGGAGAGAATGGCCATATTAAGAAAGAGGAAGAGCGAGAGGTCACACTGCCAGATGAAGATCATTTCCGATTAGAGTCGCTTGATGTCGAAATGATCCTCAAGTATGGACGAGAACTGCTACGAGGTGGAGCTATTGAATATGGTCTTGCTTCGCTGGATCCTCAATCTCGTCTGGATCACCAGAAAAAGACACTCATTGGACGCCTTGGGCTACTCGGTCGCAAGTTTGAGGACGAAGAGGTGCCGGTCGTTAATAACAACAGCGATAGCCAGGCTGCTCCCATGACCCCCATCGACCACAGCTCTAGCAATGGCCAGCAACGAAGCGATGGCCTCTCACAAAACGCCGAAGAGTCGCAGCTTAGCTCGAGGCAGCTAAATGTCCTCAAACGAAAACGCAAGAGAGAAGCAATGAAGGCTTCGCAAGGTAAAGGCGGCTTTGGCGACTTGTCTCTACGACGCTCGACGACTGTTGGATCGGAGGGGATGGCGGACGAAACGCCATCTGCAGAGACGGACACGAAGAAGAATGGCAAGGTGAACGACTACTTCAACTTGGAACGGCCCACTGATGTTGATGAGGATTCCAAAATCGTCAGCGAGTTCAAAGGCCCTGTGATACCCATCAAGTCAGAGTTGGAGACGAACGAAGCAACAGAAGGAGTCGACTGGCCATATAATCGCCTGTGCGACTTCCTCAAGGTGGACATATTTGACCCATCCTGGGAAACTCGTCATGGTGCTGCCATGGGCCTGCGAGAGCTGGTCCGTGTGCAGGGAGGTGGCGCCGGGAGACAACTCGGTAAATCGCGAGTTGAGAACGATGCATTGAATAAAAAATGGCTCGACGACCTCGCTTGTCGATTGTGCAGCGTGCTCATGCTCGACCGATTTACCGACTACAGCTCTGATACTTCAGTCGCCCCTATCCGAGAGACGGTGGGTCAGTCTCTGGGTTCAGTCCTGAAGCATGTTCCATCCGAATCTGTCGACAGCATCTACAAAATCCTCTACCGAATGGTGATGCAGGATGACTTAACACTGGAACGTCCTATATGGGCTGTTGGCCATGGCGGCATGGTTGGGCTTCGATACGTCGTTGCCGTCAGGAAAGACCTTCTGCTCCAGGATAACAACATGATTGACGGCGTTGTCGGCGCGGTGATGAAGGGCTTGGGTGATATGGATGATGATGTTAGGTCTGTCAGTGCTGCAACGCTCATCCCCATGGCTCAAGAATTCGTCACAATGCGCCCCGGGTCTTTGGATGCTCTCATTGGTATTGTATGGGAGAGCTTATCAAACCTGGGTGATGACCTGAGCGCCAGTACTGGGCGTATCATGGACCTCCTGGCCACTCTCTGCAGTTTCCCGGAGGTTTTGGAAGCTATGAAGGCAAGTGCAGCGCAAGATGAGGAACGCTCGTTCACGCTCCTGGTCCCACGTCTGTATCCCTTCCTGCGACATACCATCACCTCAGTCAGGCTTGCTGTCCTGAAAGCACTGCTAACCTTTGCCAACTTGGAATCTGAGTCCTCCCAAGGCTGGCTGAATGGGCGAGTGTTGCGTTTGATTTTCCAGAACATTCTTGTCGAGAGAGACCAGAAAACACTCTCGACTTCCTTCGAACTTTGGCAGGCCCTTGTGCGGAGCTTGGCCTCCAAGGATCCAGCTGCCCTCGCTGACGAATTTGCTGCCCACGTCGAGCCCTTAATGCAACTCACCCTGCATCCCGTTGGCACATCGCGAAATCCTATCCCGATGAATGTCACTCTCTTCCAGAAGCCTTCAGGGGGTACATACTCAACACCTGGTTCAGTACAGGTGCCATTGCGAAAGCCCTCTTCTCCCGATGGATCAGAACGAGCCACGAAACGCCGACGGAAATCCGCCAAGGTCGATGATGCGCCGTCAGCTAACCTTACCCATGATGTTGACGGCCATATGATGCAGGGAGATGTTGATCTTGTCGGCATTGATGTTCTTATCCGCTCTCGCATTTCCGCAGCCAAGGCCATGGGGCTCCTCATGTCGGCCATCCCACCTGAAAAGCTCAGCGACTACGACGCTGTGCTTATCCCAGGCTTTTCCTCTGCTTATTCCTCAACCCAGCTCTCTGCGTGCGCCGTCGTAGACGAATATGCAAAGAATTTCCCCAAGGATGTCGTCACCTCACGCTACTTCGATCATGTCCAGTCCATTGTCGAAAAAGAGCGACCTTCATCTTACAGGGATCTCGTCAACTACGTCCAAAGAGTGCGAACGCAGTGTCAGCAGCTTATACACCTATTCCGGGACTTCGGCAAGGTCTCTCACAACAAGTTACCTATCCTTCCTGTGGTTGTACAGGGAGAGCCGGATGCCGGCCCAAGTGCATTCTCCATAGCCATGGCCGAGAAATGTGTCAGCGATGACTATGAAAAGTTGAAGAAGGCGATGCCTCCTGGGCAGAGGCTGATTGCTAGCCAGCAACTGGCAGACGCTCGCGAGAGTACGATGGCAACGATTGAAGAAGCTAAATCTGTCAAGAATGTCCGGGGCATCAGGGTCAGGGCCTCGGCAGCATGCGCCATTGTGTCGATGAGACAGCTTCCTAAGAAGCCTAGCCCTTTGATCAAGAGTATTATGGATTCTATCAAGACAGAGGACAGCCAGGAACTTCAAAACCGATCTGCCGACTCGATAGCCAGGCTTGTCCAGTTATTTACCGAAAACGGCCGCAAGGGTCCAGCCGACAAGATTGTTGGCAATCTCGTCAAATTTTCTTGCATGGAAGTCGCGGAGACTCCCGAGTTTCCTGTCCATGCAGCAAAGACTGACTGTATTTTATCAATGCAGAAGGAAGAGGACCGCGTCGATCATGCTGACGCTGTCAAATGGGCCAAGGAGGCCAAGGCTGCCCGCATCACTAGGAGAGGTGCGAAGGAAGCCTTGGAGATCCTGGCCAAGACTTACGGCGCCAGTCTTCTCGAGACTGTACCGAAGCTGCAATCCTTTATGGAAGATCCACTAGTCAAGTCCTTCACTGGTGACCTTCCTCCCGAGGCAAAGGATCCAGAGCAAAACTTTGGACAGGAGATTGTGGATGCACTTTCAGTTATTCGCACCATGACACCTACATTAGATCCGGCTCTCCATCCTTTTGTGATGCGCATGATGCCTTTGGTAATCAAAGCATTGCATTCGGAGCTATCTGTTTTCCGCTACATGGCCGCCAAGTGTTTGGCGACAATATGCAGCGTGATGACCGTTGAGGGTATGACAGCTCTGGTAGAGAAGGTTTTACCGTCCATCACAAACCCCATCGACCTACATTACCGACAAGGCGTCACCGAGGCCATATACCACCTTATCGCAACAATGGGTGATGCAATTTTGCCCTATGTCATCTTCCTCATCGTGCCGGTTCTCGGACGTATGAGCGATTCAGACAATGAAATCCGTCTGATCGCAACGACCTCTTTCGCGACACTGGTGAAGCTTGTACCCCTGGAAGCTGGTATACCTGATCCTCCAGGTCTCTCGGAAGAACTGCTAAAGGGCCGAGACCGGGAGCGAGCATTCATCTCGCAACTCTTGGACCCGAAGAAGGTCGAGACTTTCCAGATACCAGTCGCAATCAAGGCAGAGCTGCGATCATATCAACAAGAAGGTGTGAACTGGCTTCATTTCCTCAACAAATATCACCTGCACGGTATTCTTTGCGACGATATGGGTCTCGGCAAAACGTTGCAGACGATCTGCATCGTCGCAAGTGACCACCACCAGCGAGCAGAGCAGTTTGCCAAGACCCAAGCCGCTGATTTGAGGCGAATGCCATCTCTCATTGTATGCCCCCCCACGCTGTCTGGTCACTGGCAGCAGGAGATCAAGAACTACGCGCCCTTCCTCAGCGTCACGGCCTACGTTGGTCCACCTGGAGAGCGAAAGGCCATGCGAGAAAGGCTGGGTGAGACAGATATTGTTGTCACGTCCTACGACGTTTGTCGTAACGACACTGAAATTCTCGAGAAGCATAATTGGAACTATGTCGTTTTGGATGAGGGTCATTTGATCAAGAACCCCAAAGCTAAGATCACCCAAGCCGTCAAGAAACTGCCGAGTAACCACCGCCTGATCCTGACAGGAACACCGATTCAGAACAACGTCTTGGAATTATGGTCGCTGTTCGATTTCCTCATGCCCGGCTTCCTGGGTGCCGAAAAGGTATTCCTAGACCGGTTCGCGAAACCGATAGCAGCGAGTCGATTTAGCAAGGCGTCTTCTAAAGAACAAGAAGCTGGCGCTTTGGCCATTGAGGCGTTACACAAGCAGGTGCTTCCATTCTTGTTACGCCGTTTGAAGGAAGAAGTCCTCAACGACTTGCCACCTAAGATTCTACAGAATTACTATTGTGATCTGAGTGATCTCCAAAAGAAGTTGTTTGATGACTTCACGAGGAAGCAGGGCAAGAAGATCCAGGATGAGGCCGGCCGCGAAGATAAGGAAGCCAAACAACACATCTTCCAAGCCCTTCAGTACATGCGAAAGCTTTGCAATTCGCCAGCCTTGGTTGTGAAACCAGACAACAAGATCTACGAAGAAACACAAAAGATTCTTCAGAAACAAGGCACTTCACTCGAAGACCCAGCACATGCGCCAAAGCTTACGGCATTACGAGATTTGCTGGTGGATTGCGGCATTGGTGTTGAGGGTGGTGATCCATCAAACGATCCCTTGTACCAGCCTATCAAGCCGCACCGCGCTCTTATTTTCTGTCAGATGAAGGAAATGCTGGACATGGTTCAAAACACGGTACTCAAGAAGATGCTTCCCTCCGTGTCTCATCTCCGGCTCGATGGCTCGGTGGAGGCGAATAAGAGGCAGGACATTGTCAACAAGTTCAACAGCGATCCATCGTATGATGTGCTCTTATTGACGACGAGCGTAGGAGGTCTGGGTCTTAACCTCACGGGTGCTGACACGGTTATTTTCGTGGAGCATGACTGGAACCCGCAGAGAGATTTGCAAGCTATGGACCGAGCTCATCGTATTGGTCAGAAGAAGGTTGTCAATGTGTATCGATTGATCACGCGCGGAACGCTCGAGGAGAAGATTCTGAATCTCCAGCGGTTCAAAATAGACGTGGCCTCGACAGTTGTTAATCAACAGAATGCAGGGCTATCAACCATGGATACAGATCAGATTTTGGATCTCTTCAATTTGGGAGACTCTGGGCCGAGTCTCATATCCGACAAGCCCAAGGACTCTGGGATTGATGGACGTGAGGAAGACATGGTGGACCTGGAGACAGGCGACGTTCGCCAGCCAGGCAAGAAGGCTTGGCTGGATGACCTGGGCGAGCTCTGGGATAATAAACAATACGAGGAGAGTTTCGATCTGGACGACTATATGAAGACAATATCATAATGGCGACGGTAGGGGGACTAAATTATTTTAATTGTATGCTGGGCGGCTTGCTTTGTCGCCGAGAGGTTGCGACACAAACACCGCCCTTTTGTAAAGTATATATGACACGAGACAATCGATTGAAAACTTTGCTAGTAGCGCTGATGAATGCCCGCCTTTTCGTGAATGCAAACATTGTCGTTGTGAAATGTTGTCTGGAAAAAATCCATCTCATGCAAGGACAATGCCTAAGTGAGGGCCTACCCTTGAGAAGTGACGCATTTGCAATCCAGAGGCAGCACCATCCCCCGCCCCCGCCATTGCCCTGAAAAAGAAGGCAAGGCTTCGCTGCTCCATAACAAGGCGCCTCGTTGGTCGCCCACCAGTCCAGAAGCTTCTATCCTGCTGCGCTCACATGATACTCGGGTACTTGCTCTCTACATCAAATCCGGGCAAGTTCTGTCCATCTGGGGCTTCATACGCATACTTTACCGAACAGCCATCCCGTTCTCCCCAAGCATGCCTGTCGACTACAGCAAGTGGGTTCGTGCTCTGAATTCATTAACCTGCCAATGCATCCGAGGGCTGCCTTCCACTAACTTTGGGGAACCAATTCATAGGATGCTCTGGAGCTGAGCGACGACTCGGACGTCGAGGTCCATCCCAACGTCGATAAGCGATCGTTTATTCGGGCGAAACAAAACCAGATTCACCAGGAGCGTCAGCAGCGGAAGCTCCAGATCGAGACCCTGAAGTACGAGCGCATTATAAACGATGGCCTCGAGAAGCGAATCTCATCTCTGCTGGCTGCCCTCAGGGCGCGGTCATCGGAGGCGGCCGACCGGAACCCCGGGGAGGTTGCCTTCAAGGCCGTGATGGAGTCCGTGGGCGACCCCAAGAACGACAAGCCGCCCGCACCACCCAGCGGCGTGTACACGGGGCAGGAGGAGCAGCCGAGCTATTCTAAGATGATGATGACCCTCCTGGACCAGGTCAACCAAGCTCTGAACGAGAAGAACCCGGACGACCGATACAGCGCTATGGTGGAGGAGATCCAGGGCCACGAGACTAAGGTGAAGAACCTCCAGAAGGACCTCGAGAAGAAGCTGGCCGAGCTGGAGAAGGAGGAGGGCAAGAAGATTACGAGCGAGGGGTACCACACAGGCTTTGACAGCTCCCACGTCAGCAAGGCTGAACCCGCGAAGCCCGGCGAGAAGAAGGAGGAGCCGGCCCAGGTCGAGCTTCTCAACCCCAACTTCCAAGCATCAGGATCTTCGCAAGGGACCAAGGCGACCATCGACGACGATGAGGAGATCGAGGCTTCTCCTGCAGGGAAGAAATTCGCCGCGATCAGCTCGCAGGATTACACCGCGAGCGCCCGGTTCCTGGCCGAGAACCCCCAGATTTTGTCGGAGCGCGAGACGGATGGTATCTTGGTGCTGGCATTTGATGCGGCACTGGAGCGCAAAGACGATCTCTCCAGGCAGTACGTTCACCAGGCGCTCCTCCTGCAGTACTGCCGTTCCCTCGGACGAGACGGGGTTGGGATCTTCTTCAAGAGAATCACCACCAAGGGACACCAGGCACAGGAGGTCTTCTACAAGGATGTTCAGGATACATACACGAGGATCAGGACGCGCGCACGGGAGATTGTTGCGGAGAGGGCCAAGGAGGGCGAGGCCGGCGGCGTTGAACAGATCCAGCTGCATGCTATGGAGCCTGGGACCGTGATTCAGATCAACGTGCCGTCGGCCGATAGCGAGGACCCGGAGGAGAAGAAGGCCCGCGAGATTTACGATACATTTGCCCCGGAGATGAGAAAGGCTCTGGAGTCGGGAACCCTGGATGCGGTGAACAAGGTTCTTGGTGAGATGAGCGTCCCAGAGGCCGAAGATCTTGTTGCCCTGTTCGGCGAGGTATGTTTTATATCCAACGTTCCCATCTTTTTACTCTGTCTAGTCGGTGAGCTAAGAAGACTGACTGATATTTTTTCGCCAGGCAAATATCCTCAGCTTGGAAGAGCAGATCATCGACGCGACAACGGAGGAGGGTCAGCAGCAGCTCAAGGAGATGGAGAAGGCAGCAGCTGAAGAGAAACACTACTCGGATCCGGAGTAGGATAATGCATGTCCACGGAAAAGGGGGGGGGGGGATGAATATATATAACTACTATACATATGATGATAGTTCACATTCTCTGAGCAGAGCATTAGGAACACTGCAGCCTCAGTGGAGGCATGAAAACAAATATGCATGAATGAGATGATGACTGTTTTACGAAAGCGCCATGCCCAGATATCTAGTATACAACCTCGTGTGTGTATTTTAAGCAAATATGATACCCAAGTGGGTTACATAGGACGTGGCGTGCTAAAGCTTCTGTGTCGAATCTCGTCAAAACTAATAAGACCAAACACAAGAATAATGAAACAGTCAACGATTCTACGTGTTTGGTCTTATTAATCAGAAAATGAGGTCTCTACCTTGCATGAAAAGAGCTCTGGCGTGCCATGTCTTATCCCAGTCGCTCGCTGCCTCACCAACCTCATGTTTTGTGGTCCGATGGAGGTACAACACCACAGCTATGATTCACCAGCGGTAGATCGACACGATATTTCGGTACGAGCAGGCGAATGAATGCCTTCTCTGCACGAGAGCACATGTAGATTAGTAAATTACGAGGTGTGCATTGCACAAACAAGCTTGACAGGGGGGTACGAGATGGCTTTCCGGTGTGGTCTCTAGACCAACCGACTTCCATCCTTATTCGCCGATGCGCACAGCCGTCGCGGAAGGAGAAGCTTGGCTTTCGGGATCCTGGTTTATTGACTCCTTTTACGGGGGTTGTCCGGGGGCTCGGTTCTCGTATGTTTTCTACGAACAATTTAGGCCGTACCCCTACCATGCAGATTGGAAAATTACGTATACGTCGACCGGGCTGTGTACGCAGAGGCACATAAGCAACGGCGCTGTTTGGACATATGCAGCGCTGTTTCAAGAGGGGACAGTAAGCCCTGCACAACCGCCTCGCTGTGGTTTACAAATCAGAGTGAGAAGAGGTGGTGCTGTTTGCACGATTGGTTGATGTAGCAACAATGCCTGGGATCAGACTGGACACCCTCTTCGGCAATTCAGAAGTCATCGGCGAGGATCGGCAGATCTCACTCACAACACGGTGGCAGCGATCGATGTTACGCTAGAACAGGAGGGAAGCAGGCAAGGGAGGAAATCACCAAACAGGCAGGCTTTTTAGCGCTCGTTTTGGCCTGATACGGGGAGCATTGATGGATTCCAATTCCAATACGTACGTGGTATGAGCGACTATGTATTTCTGATACAGTGAAGAATACAGTGTCCCGTCCCCACCGACTGTGTTTCAGACGGTGGCTGGGCCTGGGCGGTACACGTACTGCATCCATCTGCATCTAACCTCGCCCGATTCAGCACTATGTTGCCGTGCTGCTGTTAATAGAACACGGGAAGCCCTTGTGTGTGTGCCGCCACGAAAGTCTATTGGGATGACCGGCACCCAGCAGCCCCGGCTGGAATTTGGCAACCGCCTTGGGGAGCCGGTAGAGTTTTGATGGATTGGACGCCGTTTCAGCGTTGTTCGAATAGCTGAACAGCCACTGCCTCAGCTGGCAGCGCCTCCTGGTGATCTACGCCGACTGATGGGTGCTGACGTTGGTCCCCGAGGCGCAGCAGGGACCCCAGAGGACCCCCCCAGAGGACCCCCTAGAGGCTCCCTGGCGGTCCTCGAAACGGGGGTCTGCGAGGCTGAGCCAACGGCAGCGCAGAGGCAATACGGGGGCTGCCCCACTGCTGGAACCCACGCAAGCCACGGGCTCCTTGATGGGTGGATGGGATGCCTTCTGGTTGTGCATAGCGCATGCAGGTGGGTGCATCAATGGATGCCCTGTGAAATCATCGCCGCTGCTGTGCACGTCGTACTGTGCCTGAGAATAACCAGCGGTTCCACCAGCTGACGAACGATCAAAGGCCGTTGCTTGACTAACCTCCCAACTTTCTCTACCCTCTTTCTTTATTATTAGAATTGCATCTCCTTCCCTTCCCTTCCCCCTTCACAAGGCCGCCTGTCCCATCTTTCTTTCCTATTTCCTACCCTTTCATAGCTCCTTCGCCAGAACCTGCCCTGCCTGGCTCCACCTCCATCGCAGCATCTACCGAACGGCATCCAAGTCGACTCAGCCTTCTTCCGGGACGACCGACCGAATTTCCAGTTGGTTCTTATTTGTCTCTCGGCTATTCATCTTCTTGACGGATAGTCTGCTGTCGCTTTCGATCTTGACCAACACTTCTATACCAGAACCATGAAGTTCTCTTCGTTCGCAAGCCTGGCTCTGGCCGGAGCTTTCTCATCAGTCGCTTCCGCTGCAACTGCATGCAACAACTCTCCCACCCTTTGCAACCGCAACTACAACAACATCACATATCTTGGCGGTCATAACAGCGCCTTCGTGCGAGACGCCAGCACCGACAACTCCATCTCCGGCAATCAGTACTTCAATGCGTCAGTGGCACTCAGCGCCGGCTTGAGACTGCTGCAAGCTCAAGTCCACAAGGAGAACAACACTCTCAGACTCTGCCATACTTCTTGCACCCTCCTCGACGCAGGCCCTCTCCAGAATTGGCTCGGCGATGTCAAGTCCTGGATGGACTCAAACCCCAATGAGGTCGTAACCATCCTCCTCGTCGACTCGGACTCTGCAACCACTGCTGAGTATGCCAGCGCTTTCACCGGTTCTGGCATTAGCGAGTACGGCTTCACGCCTTCAGGTTCGTGGCCAACGCTCCAGTCCATGATCAACAACGGCACGCGCCTGGTCTCCTACGTCACCGGACTCGCAGCTTCGTCGAGTGCCCCTTACCTGCTGAACGAATGGGACTATGTCTTCGAGACCGCCTACAACGTCATCTCGCTCACCGGCTTCAACTGCACGCTTGACCGTCCCACCAAGGCCGGCACTGCCTCCCAGGCCCTCTCAAACGGCCTTCTCGGCCTCGCCAACCACTTCAAGTACGCCACCGGCGGAACCCTTCAGATTCCCGATGTTGATAACATCAATATTGTGAACAATGCCGGAACCTCCACCGATGGCAACATCGGCAAGCACCTGAACACCTGCAGCAGCCAGTGGACGACTAAGCCGACATATGTTCTCGTCGACTTCTTCAGCGAGAGCAACCCTCTCGACGCTGTTGATTCTTTGAACGGCATTTCTGACGTCACGGGCCGTACCGCCCCTCCGGCTAGGTCAACCACGTCTGGTGTCGCTAGGCCTTCAAAGCCCTTTGAATTTGTCGCCATTCTTACCTTCCTCTCTGCCGTGCTGATACTTTGCTAAGCAAGGTAGTGCGTGATATGTGTGGAAGAGAAAAGAACCCCCAAAAAACATTCGATTTGGATGCTATGCAAGCAAGCAAATCACATCATTTCCCTTGATTTATTCCATAATAGCAATGCGCTGGCCGAGATCTGTGTATCCTGTTCATTTACATCTCTCTCATTTGGCGTGGTTTCATCTCACATTAGAGCCGTCATCTCACATTAGAGCCGACATCTCTCTCTCTCATTATCTTGTTTCACACTCTCCTTTGGGTTAGCACTAAGCGAGGCGTTTTTGGGTATGGTGATCCTGTCTTTTTTCCGGACTGGACTGGTAAAATGCCGGAGGTGGTTGGAGTATTATATAGCCTCCTCACCTGGACAGGCAAGATTAGAATAGATCAATATATGAACAAGCAATAAAGACTTGTTATCATCTGATTCACGCTAGAAGCATATGTGTATGGTGTGAAGAACCAACACTTACCTACCTAGATTGTGTTACCACATTTTACTCCGCATCATCTTGCTCCTTACCCACCAGGTTTTAGCAGCCCCAAGCGGTACGGTACCCATCCCACAACTTCTTCCATTCCAACATCGTCCAAGTGCTAACTAGGAGAAGCTTGGTAGAGCACATTTTATCTTTTAGGACAGTATGGCCAGTGCTGGGAATGACGACCCGCGAAAGGATCCCTTTCGATACAATGACACCGGCCCTTTCAAGAGCATCTTACACACATTGGTCTTAAATGGCCCTGGCAAGAAAAAGATCAAAATCGACATGCGCGATTGCGATATAATGATTGGTGCCAACCTCGATGAGTCTACTGTCCGATTATTACACTTGCGAAATGTACGCGAGGACACAGTAACCGAGGCCAAGGCCGTTATCAAGCAGCTTCTTGATGAGCTGAAAGCACGGGATGATAACACTGGTAGTCCGCTTACTAGAAGTGGGTGTATAGATCGAGAGCAAGCGGGTGATGAGGTTCACGAGGATGTTCGCCAGTTTCTCTATACCCAAGCTGAGGAGCGCGGCCTCGACTTCAACTGGGACGAATCCGGTTACTCGCGCTGGGCGCTGCGGAGTTGCGGTGATCAAACATACTTTACGTGTCGCTGGCGTAAAGCAGGCTATTGGGAAACTGGTGGTAACACACGTGTACCTTGGTTTGACGAGGGAGAGAAGCTTCTAAAAGAGAGTATTTAAGTTTGGGTTTTGCATGCAGATGAACATTCTGGGCTCAAATGGTCAGTTATGCGGCCATGTCAGCCCGTGTGGCTGGTCTCTATCTTGAGCGGGGCTGCAACGTCCGATTATTAAGTCCCGACCGTCTGGTCCGCGACCGATTCCGCAGCAACGCTGCTGGACCTCACCTCCTCCGACGTGCTCCTAAACGTGGATTCGGGTCCTCCCTCTGTCGCTACACATTTTTACCTCCGCGTAAATGAGTTGCTCAGTCTGGGCAGCTAAGCTCACTCGCCCGTCGGCCGCCATATTTTCTAAGCGTTTACCCTGCCGGCCTCTTGTGCACCCAGCAGCAGCCATGGATTACTCGTCGATCCGCACCCCTCAGTCCTGCTATGCTGACTTCTGCCTCATCCCGGTACGTTTATAATGGGCTTCCTCTGCCCCCACCCCAGTAGCCCTTAGACAACGTCGAGACAAGAAAATACATGCTCACAATGGATCGGGCTCTAGATTGGCACAGGCAGCGTCTCCGTAGCTGCTGAGGTTGCCGAGGTGCAGAAGGTGCTCCGTGACAGCGGGCTCAAGTATACGATGCATTCTGCCGGGACGACCGTAGGTGAGTTTTGCTACTCTACAAATGAAAACCTGGCTTTGCCATCAAACCTGTGTACTTGAGAATGATCTTCTGACTGAGGGTCTTTGATTTTTCTAAATTTAGAGGGAAGCTGGGATGAGGTCATGTCAGCCATTGGGAAAGCCCATGCCGTGGTGCACGAGCGAGGCGTGGTGCGCGTACAGTCATCCATGAGAGTGGGTTCCAGGACGGACAAGAAGCAGACCGCGGAGGAAAAGGTGAGGAGAGTTGAGGGTTTGCTGGCAGAGTCGGAGAAGAAATAGAATGGGGGAAGGTGAAGCAAAGAAAAGGCGAAATTGGTTGTGATTGACAGGGAGTCTAGGCCTTCGGGTGGTTTATTCTACAGACATCTTGGGTTCGAGACGGGCTTCACAGCCCAGTTCAATAGGTGCTCCACACGTTTGGCTTCTGCGCTGGATGTAATGCTTTTGTTCGGTACTTCTGGACATTGGGATGGAGGTACTTTGGCTGTGAGGCCGTCGCCCAGGTCAGATGAGCGCATGTCTCTGATGGCTGATGTGTCTGCACGGGTTATGCGTGTCTGAGAAAGAACGAATAGATAGGTGGGTGTACCTTAAACATGGCTCATCAGGCACATGCATGTGATGGAAAAAAGAATGCCATTTCTGAAGCCATTTGCCCCCATTCGGGTTTTCCTCGTTTATCTAGGTACCTTAGGTACCCCAATGAATCCAATGAATACCAGAGCTGTTTAGTTTCTCCGTAAAGCGAGATCGCATGATGACGATGAGGTCGAAACCGTCCCAATCGGTCGTTGCTCTTCCGGCCCCCGTAAATTACGGGGGACATGGTCCCCTCCCCACGTCGCCGCACCGGCATCTTATCGCAGATCCAGCCGCTATCGCGCAGGCTACCAGCGCAGCGACTGTCCTGCTGACAACCTCAGCTGCTCTCGAGTGTCAACGCCCTCCGACCTCATCTCTTCCGCTGACGACGTACTTTCCACCACCGAGCGACTGAAACATCAAGCGACCTAGCACTGTGTTTTCTAGATCGCGTCCCTCAGGCAGCTCTAGACCCGCCCCGAGGCTCCCGCCCAGCACGAGGCAGAGCGACCAGCCTACTTGGGAGACGCTGCCTGATATCTGCACTTGGGCCAGCTCTTGCATCCGTTCAACACTCGGGCTTCATCATTAAAGTCATCCCGCGTCCTCCTACGACCTGAATATTTAGGGGGGAGTTTACTCGAAAAGCTCCGGCGCCCTTCTCCTCAGTCCCGACATCTGGGAGCATCCCGCCAGCGCAAATGGGTGGCTCATTATTAGTGCGGTCCTCCGCCCGAGAAGACGACCGATCCCACGAATATGAGCCTTTAACGGGCAACGACGAGGTCGAAGCCCTCGAAAGCTCTGCCGTCTTTGAGGACCACGAGCAAATACCATTCTCATGGTTCGAGTACGGCATCTTCGCCCTTCTCGGGATGGCTATGCTGTGGGCATGGTGAGCTACTCCCCTCCCCTTCTATCTCGATCAACGTGATGGATGATATACGCTTGGGAAATCAAAGGCTAATCAAATTCTAAACGCAGGAACATGTTTCTCGCCGCCGCCCCGTACTTCTCCTCCCGTCTAGCAAGCGATCCCTGGTCCCAGACCAACTTCCAATCCGCCATCCTGGCAGTGTCGACAATGACGAACCTGGGAGTCATGATCCTCCTCTCCCAGATCCAGCAGTCCGCCTCCTATCCGTACCGCATAAACATCGCCCTCGTCATCAACATCTCCGTCTTCGCCCTCCTCACGGCCTCAACCGTCGTCTTCGTTAACGCCGGCCCTCGCCTGTTCCTCTCCTTCCTCCTCCTCACGGTTGCCGCAACCGCCTGCGCGACCGGCTTCATCCAGAACGGGGCCTTCGCCTTCGCCGCCAGCTTCGGTCGCCCAGAGTACATGCAGGCCCTCATGGCGGGTCAGGGCCTCGCCGGCGTCCTCCCGGCACTCACCCAGGTCGTCACTGTCCTCGCCTTCCCCCCAACCGGCGACGAGGCCAAGAACGGGAAAACCGACGCCGCCGCCGACGGCCAGTCCGCCGCCTTCTTCTACTTCCTTGCCGCCGTCCTGGTCTCCCTCGTCACCCTCATCGCCTTTGCGCCCCTCGTCCGCCGCCACAACCAGATCGTTGTCGGGGGCCGCATGGCCGAATCCACCGCCTCCATCGAGGATGCCGAGCGCGCCTCGCGAAAGTCCGTATCCCTCTGGCACCTCTTCAGGAAGCTGCACTGGCTGTCCCTCGCCCTCGGCGTAACCTTTGCCGAGGCCATGTTCTTCCCAGTCTTCACGGTCAAGATCACCTCTGTCGTGCCCAGCGAGAGCGCCGGGGCCCTCTTCCGCCCCGCCGCTTTTATCCCCCTCGCCTTCTTCTTCTGGAACCTGGGCGACCTCTCGGGCCGTGTGGCCACCATTATCCCCTTCCCTCTGAAGAAGAGGCCGTTTGCTCTGTTTATCCTATCTGTCGCCAGGAGCGGCTTCATCCCCCTCTATTTCCTGTGCAACATTGGCGGTCGCGGCGCCGTCGTCCCCTCGGACTTCTTCTACCTTTTCATCGTGCAATTCTGTTTTGGCCTCACAAACGGCTGGATGGGCTCCACATGTATGATGGCTTCTGGGGATTGGATTGAGGATGAGGAACGGGAGGCCGCCGGCGGCTTCATGGGTCTTTGCATTGTGATTGGTCTGACTACGGGGAGCTTGCTGAGCTTCTCTGTTGCCGGCATCTAGAATATTACCTTAGAGAGCGTAGCATATCTTGGCATATTTGAAATACAAGTCTTATTGTTCTGAAAAGATTATTGGTTGCTGCTATCTGTGAAGAGCTTCTCGACTGTGCAGTAGTCGCACTCATTTTTGAGCAACCATGGATTTGCCATCTGTTCCTGACACTTGGCATATGCACACTTTATGCCGTGAGGCGGATCTACGCTGCAATAAACCAAAATGCAACCTCCCATCTGTATGTGTGTATCCCTTGGTATAAAAAGCAATTTCCCAAAATGCCCTCGACGCCTTTGAAATATCCAGTATTTCCATGTCTTTCGGCCGTGTCTTCCAACAGGTATGAGTTGGATTTCGTTTCAAAAATTAACAAAAGAGAGGGGTTGGTGTGAGAGAGAGAAGATGTGTGAGAGTAAGTGAGAGTCGGAGCCAAAATGGCTGGCTCTTTGGCCGGTAAATTATCCAGCTTGCAAAGGCTGCCAATGCTAGCCCTTCTGCGAGCCTTCTGATTTTTTTACTTTGTAGTGCTCGAGGCACTTTTCCAAAAGATCGACGTCTGTGTGGATAGAATGGGTCATCGATTTCATCGTAGGTGGTAATGAATACACTCCGTTCTTCTGATGAGGCTCTTGCAGATGAATAACCTCCGATTCTTCCATGGATCTTGTCGGGCGACCTCGTTCGAGATAGCACTTGGTTGGCGGGCGGTAGAATTGGTTCCGGCAGTAGATCATGTCGGCAGTGTAGAATCCACCCTTGATGAGCTGCTCCTCAATAGTTCGCCAATAAGTAAGTTTGAATTCTGGCATCTTCATGTCGAAGTCCCCAAACCTGATTTTGAGTGGTTTGAACGAGTCTTGCTGCTGGGTTGGCGTAGTTAGGACCTGGGCGAAGCATGTGCAGTCCCGTAGCGTCATAGCGAGAGCAAACTGTGCATCTTTCTTGTCTGCTTTCAGTGGCCCAACGTGGTCGTTTGCTTCCTGGGCGAGCCGGAGAGTTTTGAAAGCTGGCTCACTTCTCAGTACATCCAAGGTGCTGTTGAGCCGCTTCCTTCTCTTGTCGGTACTGGGCACTCGTCGACACACGGAATCGGTGAATGCAGGGTTGCTCGCATCGTTCCCAATCATGAGTGGACAAGGCTTAGCCTTTGTAGGAACAGGTTTTCCAACTTGAGGATCGACTAGGTAACTGTAGAGCTCCTTGGCGCATTGCCTGCAGCGAATGGCATTTTTGGGGGCGTTGGGGGACTGGGACAGCCACTTTGGCTTAAACTCTACCAATATTGTGGTTTCGGGGTCTGAGATGGTGAGTGAAAGGTCCAGATATGAGGAATCGAAGGGGTGGGAAGGGTCGCAATCTTTACCATGAGGTTGCATATCCTCTACGAGAAACCCCCACTCAGATGGCTCTATGAAGGTGCCTCTGAACTTGAGATCTCGTTGGTGATCAATTGCTCTTAGATAGTCGTTGATGGGGTCAATGAGGTTCGCGTCACGTAGTATCACAAGCTCCTGATGCAAGATGTAGGATCCTAGAATGGGCTTGATGTGAGTACAATAGTACTGGTACTGCTGCAAGTAATTGAAGCGGGGGCGATCGCCATCAATTGGAGCCTTGGCGACTCGCAGCAAAAGACCTAAATCGAGAAGATGCAAAGTTAGATCAGGAACCATGAAAAAAGCTGATGGCGTGGCGATTGCATTGGGCCTATATTGAAAAATAGCCCAAGCAGAGTAACCGCGCAGCGCATGTCGGCGAGGGAGAGGTGAGTTAACGAACGAGAAGTCTGGTGGTAGAGATATGAGCCATCCGGAAGCACAAGTTCGAAGACGGCATTGGCAGCACCCTCTCCGACCAAGCGGCCAACCTTGCAGCCAGGCGGCAGAAGCCTCACTCCCTTGCCATATGGATCTCCATTCTGAGGGGCAGGATGATGCACCTCGCTTAGCTGTCTGAGATGATCCATATCCTCTTGTGAGATCCATGCTTCATCTCCGCAGACCGAATAGATGGAGCAGGCTGGGGATGACGCATAGCCACGGGCGGCTCGCGGCGAACCTGGCCGAAGATCGATTTTTGGGCTGCTTGGTGTTATGACAGTGGTTGGGGAGACAAAGGGCTTCTTCCGCCATAGAACCATGACTGGATTGGAGGGGTGGCCTTGCAGGTCGATGCAAGGCACGGCGGGGAGCCTGCAAGGTTTAGTTCAGAGCAGGACAACTGAGGGTTGGGAAGACGGCGAGGGTATTCCGAGGCAGCGCAACGCCAGACGACAACATTTCCGCGTAGAAACCAACGAAGGGATATCCTGGTGACGATAGGGAGAAGGGAAACGGGGCTCAGGAGGATACAAGTCGAGACGGGTCCGGCACTTTTAGCAGACGCAAAGCTGTGCTCTGCTGCTATAATAGTCCATAACAATTTAATAACGCCGGCGGTATAAGTAGAAGTATGGAAGGGTCTGAATTGAAACTGCACGGAGCCTAGACAGAGAAGGCGCCGCCCCGTAAAACCTTTTTACCTACCTCCTACCTAACAAGCCTCCTGGCTCCTGCCCGCCGACCAGTCACCTCAGCCTACTAGCAGCAGGAGCGACCTGACCTGCACAACATATCTACATCCGTCCAGTGGGTTACTGTACATAATCCACATCGTCAACCCCACCATTATTTGGGTACCAAGTACCAATACTGGCTAACCAGGACCAATCTAGCCCAACAGGCGGTGACCATTGCACCGCGTGTTCAGTTCAGGCAGCGCGCTTCTGAGTGAGCGTGGGAGAGGAAGCGGCCCTTTTCCCCTTCGCTCTCACCTACTGCACGACCGACTCCACGTTGATTCTGGATCGTATTACCATCCACCAATATTTAAGACCGTCCGGCTGATCCAGTTCGCTCGCAGGAGGACGACATGCGTAGCCCTCATTTGCCACGCAATTTTACACTAAACCCACCACGTTGATCACTCCTGGCCAGTCGCATTAAGCCATCGAGCCATGATTGTGCCGTGACGAAGAGCTCTTGTTTTTTCTGGCAGGTCGCATGTACCAGCACAGAGGATATCGGGATCAGGAGGCCGACGACTGTTCATTCCATAAAAACGGATGCATTACGCTATTCCCTTATGGAAGCTAAAAACTCGGCAGACCTACCTTGCGTCTGGGTAGAGCCTCTTTTGGGCCGATTTAGCATGGGTACGCTGCCTGCATTATGTCATGGCCAATGCTGCAATAATGCTTTCGGCACACCTTACCCTGGTGCAGCTGCGTGGTGAATGTGGTGTGGGCAATACAACGAGACCACTCATTAATATTAGCACAGCATGTAAGTGGCCGGGCGACGCCCGTCCTGACGCAACAACCCACGGAGAATTACGATTGTTCCCTTGGCATCATCTGTGCTCGCCTTTCGCTCAATAGGTAAGGTCCTTACCTCCCTGGTGCTTGGCTTCTCCAAGTCGTACGTACCCGTTGTCACCTAGTGCAGAGATCCATATTTACCCAGGCAAGCAAATCTACCTTGAGCCGCGTCTCATTCTTTTGATAAAGCAGTGATACGGGCAGCACACCTGTTGTGAATTCTCTGACCAGCCAATATTAGCCCGCTCACCTATGACCCACGGTGGACGGGATGATCATGTGCCCTGCAGACATTTGCCTCAATTTCGGGATGTGGGAGGCCTGCACGACACCCGCTGAATTATGATTAGCCGGCTCGTGGGCTATGTTCTGCCTGATTTTTACCTGTACAACACAGCAGCACCGAGGAAGCACTGTTGCGTCCCATCTTTGATGTTACCGAAGAAAAAAAGTTCCATCCAGATTACACTGTTGGTGATTGGTCCCATGGGGAAGCTTTTTCTGCCCACGCATTTTCCCATGTCCACTTTCACCTCCTCCCCTCTTTATCTCCCCTTGATATCCAGATCATGAGACGATCTTATCATTTTAGTACGTATTAGATGAGCGGGAGACGGTACTAACAAATGAGTGGTCTACTTGCGGCCAATGATCACGCAGTGTGTAATTTCTATGGATGGACCGTAAACTTGTTGACCCACGATTGGTACCAGAATTCAGTATCCATAATTGCATGAGGGGGATAGGAAAACATCAGCTTTCCATTCCCATCATTCAGCGTTGTGCACAGGGGACTTTCCTTGCCTGCTAGCCTAGATGACGTGTGCATTCGCAAACCACGCCCTATAGACGTTGGGTAGATTCAGCTACATATCACACGAAGTGACTTGGCAGCGTTTCACCTGGGCGGGCATGCCTACAGATGATTGATTCTCGGGATCTGTTCTTGTCTGAGTATTATATGCCTCTCCTTTTCTCCGCCGACCTCACGCGACCCAGGACCCATAAGGTTGCCAAACACAGGCCGTGACTTCTCCGCCATAAGCGAGCTGGGTGGAGAAATGGCTGCCCTACCATGTGTACATGGCAGACGCATATGTAGGTATGTGATGAATGCGGGAAGCTGACCTGACCTCAAGCAACCACACCAACATCTCAATCGTACAGCCAGGGGAACGCGGATTCGCCACAGGATGACGGTGTTTCCCCAAAGGGCAATTACAGCCTCAGGAAACGGTTACGCAACCTCAACTGCCAAGGTGCTGCATATACTCCATGCATGCTCTCTGTGCAACATGGGGGCCTTTTTTTATCTTTGCATTTCAGCGCGCGCCTAACGCGCACGGGTTCTTCTGTGCTCTCCCTGACAACTAGGTAGGTTACGCGAGTTTTCGAGAAAAGTGATAGCATTTCCCTGCCAAGTCTCGATCCATTGCCAAGTCCCGACACATGACCATTTCAACGGAAGACGGCATCTCTCCCAAGAAGCACAAGGTAGACGTGCGTGAGCCACCCCATGTGAACTATAAGGCACAAAGGGATCCCACCATAACGTAAATGATGCCATTTAATCCAACGCCGTGTTGTATTCCATCCCCTGGCATGGGGTCCGTTTTCTCTTTGTCCGTCTCTCAGCGCGTAGAGGGGGGTTTCGCCCGGGCCCGGCCTGGCCACGGGCCGGATCAGCCTTGGAGGGTTGCGTGCGTTTGAAAAAAAAAAAATCCTCGTGCGGTATCGGGTAACTGATAAGGGGGGTTGGTCATTCGAAAGCGGCCCTTGCATTGGATGAAGGCAGTGCTCTCTCTGCAAATGGATTTTTCCCTGTACATAACGGACTACCGGGCGCTATAACACACCGCACAGCTCACCGCATAGCACAGCCATCAGTGGCGTTCAGTGCTCCTGTGCTCCGGACTTAGGGGAGCACAGCGCACTCCGGTTTCACCCACCACCTGAAGCTTCCTGAATCAGCTGGCGGTGAAATCTTTATTCCTGTCCAAAAAAAAGTCTCCATAATATATCATCATCAATCATCACACCCTACTGTCACACGAAGCTTGTAAAACCTATACCAAGCGGCATCTCAACCTTGGCCATTGTCTCGAAACCCATCGATTGCGACAAGCGCCAGCGAAATTACCTGATCCTGCGATTTTCCAGCCATTTCGCCGACCGACCGATCGTTCCGTAGCGACGCATCTCCATCCATCGCTAGGGCGCGCTTCAACAGACCTCAATGGTCGCGAGACTTTAATAGCCATTTAACATGGCCTTCAACTTCAACTGGTCGCCTCTAACGGCCGACGCTGATTTCTATTCTCGAGCGCGCGACCTCCTGACGAAAGCTCTTAATAAATCTCCCAAGCCGCCCATCATTGTCGATGACATCCTCGTCGACGAGCTCAACCTGGGCAATGTGCCCCCGGACTTGGAGATCCTCGAAATTGGCGATCTGGCCGAGGATAGATTCCGTGGCATCTTTAAAATGACCTACTCAGGCGACGCGTATCTCACGCTCAAAACCCGAGTTCAGGTATGCCTCTTCTCTTTCAATCGCTCTTGTTTTTTTCCATTCATTCTCTCTTTCCCCCTTCCATCAATCCGCCTTACCCACCCGGTCGCCCTTTGCGCTGGAGCTACCGAGGAGCCATTTGCGACCGGATCCCGGTAATGCCCGACTCACCTCACCGTACCCCCGCGCTCTGGTTTCCAATGGCACCCACCCCCATACTATGTCCATCGCCTCATGGCCCTGGAATCGTCCTGTTTTGGGTATCTCGAGCCCGGCATGCCTTTGTTTGGGTGCACTGGTTGGCTCTTTCGGCCATCTTTGCATGCGTCCCATGCCGTTGGCCCCTGACCGAGACCGTTTGCCCGTTCATCTGCACGCTCAAAGTCTATCTGGCTGTGAACCATAGAATCATGCCATATACACTCCTCCTGACCTCTTACTGGCCTAATTGCCCCTCACCCCCAGAATGGGATCATGGTGGATGATCGGAGGAAGTCGTCCCTGGTCACGTTCGTCCCGTTCCCATACACTTGTTCTCGCCGCTAAACCCATACCAAATCCCCGAATGTAACCGCCCAGTACTGACCTTCGACGTAATGTAGGCCAATCCTCTCAACACCTATCTCCACTCTAAGCCTAGCTTCACATCTCCAAAGCCTCTTGCGGCTGCTTCATCACTCACCATTCCTATATCAATCACCTTGTCTGAAATCAAGTTGTCAGCGTTTATTATTTTGGTGTTTTCAAAACAGAAAGGCTTAACGCTTGTCTTCCGCAATGATCCCCTCGAGTCTCTCAAGGTCTCGTCGACCTTTGACTCCATCCAGTTCGTTCGCGACTACCTGCAACGGACAATTGAACAGAAGCTACGAGACTTGATGATGAACGAGCTACCTGCCATCATCCATCGGCTGTCACTCCAGTTGTGGTGTCCCGACCAGGCCAACAAGCCTGGGGAGTATCCCACTGATGAGGTTGATGAAAAGGGTGTAGATCCATTTATCAGCCCTCCCGATGATCCGGTAGATGCCAATGGGAATCTCTTGGACGCCAATGCTCTGTCTGAGCTTACCCCCCAGGGTGCCGGCGATGCGCAGTCTCTTTTTTCACAAAAGAACTTGCTCCGACTTGCGGCGCTCACCGACTCACACCGCACCCTGTCGTTGTTCACCCCAGGCATTCGTGATGTTGTGTTCAGAGCCTGGACGGGTCATGGAGACAGGTCAGAAGCTATGACGCCAGCAATGGCACCCCCTAGCTTGTCCAGGACCCATTCTCTTCCCACTGGCACGAGTACGACCTATACTTTTTCGGATACAAGTAGCACTACCCAAGGCTATTTGCCATCCAGGTCCGTATCGCAGATTAACCTGAGCTCGACGTCGCCTGGTCGGGCGGTGGGAACTTCAAGCAGGTCTCGCCCAGGCCGAAAGAAGAAGACCAGAGTTGTCAATTTGCGACGAAGCAAGTCAGAAGTCGATACGCCAACCGAGACCGAGACTGAGAGCGAGACCGGATCCGATACTATTTCGGAGGGTCCTTTTTCTGAACCGTTGATGACTAGTTCAATTCCCGAGATGGAGGATGACGAAGACATCCTTGCCGAGAGTCTGGCCAGCAAGCTTCACTTCACCAACGAAGAGAAGAAGTCGGCTGCCTCCATCAACCAGAGCCCACTGTCCCAACCGCCTCTTGTCTCCGACCCGAGTGAAAAGACGTCGTCTATTGCCAAAGCTTTGGAAAATGCTGGCAAGAAACTTTCAGTTGACACAGCTCTGCCTAAACGGACCCAGACCAAGCATGATTCAGGCTCAGACTCATCATCGGTCATCCTTGAGCAAGCCTGGATCATGAAGATGGCCGGCGAAATTGCTCGTCGTGTCTATGACGAAAAGAATCGTCAGAACAACCCTTCAGGCGGTGTGTGGGAGGAGCAAGAGGCACCTCCTACATATGAAGCCGCAATCCATTAATTCCTACAGCCACATTGCATATTTCAAGCGATACAGTATGCGTCCTATCACTAGCTAATATTTCCTTTTTGTCATCAGTCTCTACTCATGTGCGCTGGCGCTTGTTTTTATAGAAAACGGCCTAGATGGCGTGCTCTTACTTGTTAATTTTACCGGTCTGGGGCGATTTATGGGGCGTTTATCCTCTCTCTTGTTGAGAAGAGACTTCAGAAATTCGAAAAAGAGGGTTCAGAGGTGTTGGCATGATTTTACGGTTTTCTTTATCGGCGAGGGTGGACGGATCAGCAGAGATGAAATGGTTGAATCCTTTTCCTTTGTCTCATTAACGACCATTAATGTCTGCTGCACGATCCATCATGACGTCGACCGGGAGCGACAGACTTGTTTTTGATATTTTATTTGTACCGGTCCTGGGCGGGAAACTGTTCTTAAAAGTAAAATCATGGCGGGATTGCGAGGTTTGATGACCGGGATTGGGAATCGGAAGTGGTTTTAAAAAGAATCACAAGAGATTGGTGTGTATTATGTGCGGATTTTACATCATCAGATTGAGCGAATAGCGCAACTTTTTGCATATTTTTTTTCATGAAATACACTACTATATACTCGTTCTGAACACTGTCTAATCTGTGAAGAAACATATGTCGTGGTGTCTTGTACCTCCTCTTACTTCTCTATCCTTTCATAGATAGGCGGATTCGTTGTTGATCGTGAACGGGCTGTTCAGAGCATGAGCATCATTTTTCTTGCTCTTATTACCAACAGTTGTCTATCGAGACAGGGACATTCGGTGTCGTGGACATTTCGTCAAGAGCTAGGGATCGCTAAGCTGTCCTGCTGCATCGTCTATCCCTGAGGTCCTCGGCCATCAAATCCGCGGATGGGTCCAGCCAAGCGTCCGGTGGCATCGCATAATGCAACCGTACATCTCGGAGGAGCCCAATCTCATCCGGAACGAGACGCCCCTTGGCCCCGTAGACACCCAGTGGGTTGTGGACCGAGCCCAAGACTTAATAATCGTCTTCGAGGTGGCGGTTTCTCACAGGCGCCGGCGTCCGCCTGATCCTCGCCCGTACCGCAATCGTTCCCCCGTCCTCCTCCTAGGAAGGCTTAGGTGCAGCGGCGGCGGCAGCGTTCTCGGCCTTGAGCTTGGCCAGCAGGTCCTCCTTGCCCTTGAGCTCCTGCAGGATCTTCTGCGACCACTCCTCCGTCGTCGTCTGCGCGTCCCTGAGCTTCTTCACCTCCGCCGCCTCCGTCTCCCGGCTGAAGGGCTGCCCGGGCCGGTTCGAGTTGGGGATCATGGCCGTCCGCTCCCACACGTCGCCGCTGTCCGGGGACGGCAGCGGCGGCGGCGCCTTGTTCTTGCCCTTGCCGCCCTTCCCCTTGCCGCCCGAGGCTGGGGGGCCCTTCCAGCCTTTTGGGACGGCGCCGGAGGTGAGGATGCGGTAGAAGACATCAAAGGGCTCGTTGAAGAGCTGCTCCTCGTAGCTCCAGGATCGGATCTCGCCATTCTCCATTATCATCGCCTGCTTCTCCTCCTCAGTTCTGCCGTAGGGGTGGAGGCGCAGATAGTGGTAGAGGGTCTGGGGCTTCTCGCCGGAATCGTTGACGTAGTATAGCTTGATGGCGATGTCGAACTCTCCCCAGCCGGTTTCGTTGACGATGAATGGCTTGCCGGGCTCGCCGTCCATCACTAGCGCACGGATTGTCAGCTGTCATGGCTGGGTTGGAGGGTGTAGGAGTAGGGGGAGATGGAATGGGGTAGCTACTGACTTCGTACATAATTAGGGATGGACTCGTGGAGCTTGAACTGTACACGCCGTAGCCAGTATGTGATATCGGTATCCTCGACCCCCTTCACGAAGACCTGCCAGGAGTGCGTGTGGTTATCAGGCACGCCGGCTGGTCGCGGATTGGTTTCTGAGAAGGGCAGCGCGGTGCTGCCCACGATGAAAGGTCGGCGGACTTGGGTCAGCTTCACCCGCTTGCCCAGCTGGTTGGGGGGCGCCATTGTCAAGGTATGAGAAGGGGCGATGTTTTTTGGTATGAGCTGATTACACGGAGGGACAAACCATTGTCAATGAGAAGCTCGAAGGATGGGCGCATCGGCCCAAATTTGGGGTGAGTAGAGAAGCCGATCAAGATGAATGGTTGAGAAACAGCATCTAGATCCACTCAAGTGTCAGTGCCGCCTTTGTGCTCACCCCGAGCCACTTAGTCATCTCTGAGGGATCAGGAACTCTGGTTAAAAGCAGCGCATCCCAGCTACCACCCCCACCAAAATGAGGGTAAAGGCTCGTTATGGAGCAGAGCACTCGTCGCGTCGTTATGCAGCAGGCTAGATGCCGGTCAATGGCTAGTGGATGCATCTGCAGGGCACCCTGTCACTTGTTCATCGGACACGAAATCCATCAATGTCATCATAGGGGTCTGCAGGAGACAGATTCACCAGTGGGGAAAAGGGACAAGTATTCAAAGTATTGTTTTGTAGTATCTTGGGAATCTTGTTCCGTTAAAGTCTGGATACTATTTTGTTTTCAGTCCTTGTACTCCGGAAACCACAATTTCCACCCCATGAACGCACAAGAATCAAAGAGCCGTCTATATGCAATAACCGTCAAGTGCACACGAGGGTGCGACCAATCAACCAAAGGACTCGAGTGTCTATTTCTCGAAAATGATCCTTTCCCATGTACGCCAGCTTTGGTATGATGAAATAAGAATGCCAAACCGCCCAGAAAATCACGTTTGTTTATAGCTGTACCATGTCGTTCAAAATCTTGACCTCCTCACCTGGCTTGAAGGGTGGGAGGCCGATGTAAGGGCAGGTTGCGCAGCGGAAAGCATCACCGAGGGAGCAGCTATTGCAGGAGCCTGTCTTTCCCTTGACAGTGAAGTCGAGCTCATCGTAGAGATCATCTGTATTGAGCTTCATGACGTTCAGCTGCTCTGTCGCCTTGTCCTGTCGGTCCTGGTCCTCGGCCACCAGTTTCTCAGCAAGGCCACATGTGCAGTCCTTGCATGCTCGTCGGCGCTTGCCTGGCTGAGGTCGACACTCGGGGGCTGCAATACGAAATGGGTTATTAAAGTCACTAACAAGACTGATGGATGTTGGGTATGGAACTCACGCTGAACGATAGGTCGCTTCAAGTCGGCGGCCGTAAGGAGGTCATCCTCGTCGATCAACTCATCATCGCTGCCGAAATCATCGTCCAGATTGATCTGAACAGGCTTGAATGGTTGAACGGCAGGAGCGGTTCCGTTCAACATGCCGTTCGTCTTCTTCTTCTTGGCACCGAATCGCAGAGGGACGACAACCTCTTCCTCTTCAATCTTTTCGAATGAACCGTCCTTCTCAACCAATCCAGCCAAAATAGCCTCGCGGGCCTCCGAGAGGGTGACGGGGCCGTCCTGCAGCTGGAATTTGGCTCCAGACTTCATGGCCGGGACCAGGGTGCTGTAGAGCTTGCGGGTGAGGAGCTGGAGGGCCTCGTGCCTCAGTCCGCCATTGGTGCCTGTCAGGACAAGGACAAAATCGTAGGCATCGTTAGGAAGAGGGACGAGGCCAGCACTCAGGCGATCGAGCATCTGAAGATCGGATGTAGACCGATCGTAGGTCGAGAAGACGGCGTGCAGTTGCTCTTCGTGGGCAGCGACGGAAGGAGGGGCCAGGATAAGGTTGCGCTTCGAGACCGACTTGACCGAGGGGACAAATCCGAAGTCGTCGGAGAGGTCGATAGTGACAGGACCGGGAGCCATCGTATGTCTGGGTCTGCTGAATATGTCTGGGCTCGGGGGTATAGGAAACGGTAAAGGAAGACTGGAAGCCAAAGAAATTTCGGAGAGATGGGTGTGGAAGGCGATAGGTGAAGGGATGCTAGGCGAGTTCTTGTAGGTTTTTGGGTTATTAGCGTATGATTGGGGGGTGGGGGTGGGGAGCGCAAATCCGATCGCTGTATTACAAACCTACAGATATCTTGCCGACTTCGGCCGGGGCTTAAGTGGTTGGGATTATCCGCTGGCTGCTGCACACTTACGCCGGCAGTGGTAATTGGCAGTATGTGATTTATTGCAGGCCCTTTTCCCCGTTAGCCGCTGACAATCCCGCATCCGATTGCTGTTTTCACATGCCACTCCATGTTTGTAAGAGGTAAAAAAGTCCGACAGCTGACATCTCCGCGGGCTCTATTGGAGCTGAGCAGCCTGATAACCTCCCCATCTATCTATTACTGCTATGTATTACTATTGGGCCAGCTGAATGGTTCGGGTAGGCCAGGACCCAGTTGGCGGCTGCAACTCCGCGGAACGGTTTGGGATGGAGTGATTTCCAATTATCTAGAGTCCTTTGGCCTGATCTTACTTGATTGAAACCGCAGTCTCCTGAGGGGCAAGGATATGCCCGTCCTTTGATCTCATCTTGGTCTGGACGGCAGATGATGAGTGAGGTTGATGACTCAGCAGCACTTACTGAGCTCTCCAGGCTTCAGTTGCGTTTACAGTGCTTTGAGGCGCTGGGGAAGGTACCGTAGCTGGAGCTTACTGGTGCTGTCTCACTGGCCAGCTGCTGGACTGGACCCTGCCTGGCAGCCAGGGTAGCTCCGAATATGCATGATCTCATCAATCATTTACGTTCCGCTCAAGGATCTCTCAGACCACTTCGTTGATGGACCTCATGAGCTGACTGCACCTCGTTCCATTTCTTGCCAACAAGTATCTGGAAGCACATTGCTGCAGCGGTCATTGCTCGAGCTTCACCACTCTGATTGGCTCCCCATTGTACTCCAATTGAGCTCTGGCGCAATCGTATTCTTCCTGCCGAGAACCCTGCCAGAGGCTGCCAAGCTCTTTCAAGCTCTCTCCCACGAACAGCCTTGAGCCCCAACAAGCAAACCATGTCCACCGCGGCCAAGAAACTGGTTGTCTGTGGAGGCAATGGCTTCCTGGGCTCGAGGATCTGCAAATACGCCGTTGCCCGCGGATGGGATGTAACCTCAATAAGGTAACTATCCCCAGCTCCCGATGCACCTTCACTCTCAATGATATAATCAGCTCTATGTGATTTTTCCAACTTTGTATAACTTCATCACACTTACATTATAATTCTATAGTCGTTCCGGTGAACCCCGGTGGGAAAATGTCACATCGTCCCCTTCTCCCCCATCATGGTCTCATCAGGTGAGCTGGGAGCGAGGCGATATCCTTCGCCCTTCTACCTATGCTCCGCTTCTCAAAGGGGCCAACTATGTAGTTCACAGTATGGGTATTCTGATAGAGGCCGACTACAAGGGTCTTGTGTCGGGCAAGGAATCGCCCATAACTGGCCTGCAGAAAGTGTTTGCCTCGACCCGAGATCGTGGCATCAAGCCGCTCCAGGCCAAGTATGGGGAGGATATCAAGCCGGCCAACGCCAACGACCAGTTTTCGTACGAGGTCATGAACAGGGACAGCGCTGTTGCCCTTGCCAAGCACGCCGCCGAGGAGAAGGTTGGCGCTTTCTGCTACATTTCGGCCGCCGGCGGTGCTCCGATCCTCCCGCAGCGCTACATCTCCACGAAGAGGGAGGCCGAGGCCATCGTAACCTCAAGTTTCCCCGACATGAGAGGTCTGTTTATCCGGGCACCTTTCATGTACGACAGCTCGCGTAAATTCACTCTTGCCATGGCCGCTGCTGCGGGGGGTGGTGCCATCTTCAACCAGCTCACTGGCAAGTATTTCCAGAACCTCATCGGTGCCGGCGGGGCGAAGCCTCTCAAGGTTGATACTGTTGCCGAGGCGGTTGTTGAAGCCCTGAGTGATGAGGATATCAAGGGCCCTGTCGAAGTCCCCGAGATTGAGGACCTCTCAGCCAAGGCATGGCGTAAAACAATGCTCTGAAAGGCGTTGGTCTTTAAGCCGGTATATTATTCGCTAGACTGTATGCTACACTACCCAAAAAAAAGCATGTAATATAGACTGGGCGCGGGCGCGGATGTATATTCATTCATTAATACCGAGCAAAAGTCTCAGGTCATCAACACAGGAAGCCCTGCTCCTCTGCCACCCCCCTCTGTTCTTTCTATAATCATATTCTTGTACCTCTCTCGAAGCTTTCCCTGATCTCTGCCGTGTACTTGTTGTAGAACCGCTCCAGCTTCTGGTTGAACTGCTTGTTCTTTTCGTTGATATATGTCGTGTCCCCTTCGTCGCCGTTCTTTGCCATTCTCTCCTTCCTCTTCTTGAGCCTCTGCTCCTCGGCTCGCTTTAGATCCTCAACAAGACGATCTACAGCCGCCTTGTCCGGCTTGTTCTGTGTGAAGTTCGTTGAGTCGGCGGTTGAGTAGAAGGTCCCGTCCTTGTCGATAGCGACCAGCTCTCCATCCTCGGTCTCGACAATGTCCAGCCCGCCTGACGCGGCCGCCTTCTCGATGAGCGCTTTCTTGTCCTTTTCGTATTTATCCATGTCAACATTGACGTTCCGCAGCTGCTTCTTGTAAACGCTGTTGCTCTCCTGGCGGTAGTCCGAGAACGCGACGTTGTCCCGATGGGCGTCCTTCTTCTTCATCCGCTTGTCCCACTTCTCGCTTTCGTCGACGGTCCAGTCCCATGCGCGCTTGCGCTCGAAATCCTCGCCGGCCTCCTCGGTCTCTGCCTTGAGGAGCTTGTGTGCGGCGATGTCACGTTGGCGGTGCAGCGTCTTGAGCTGTGCTGGGTCGGTCGCCAGCCTCTGTGACTCGAGCGTCGCCTCTTTCAGGTTGGTCTCGGAGCCTGACTTCGCCCGGGCTTGGAGGGCTTTGAATCGCGCCATGCGGTCGCCGGCCCTGGGCTTGCTATCTGCCTGCGGTGTCGCATCTTGTTTCTCTGCAGGCTGTCCGTCCTCGCTGGGCTGATCGTTCTGCTTCGTTGATGAGGGCTCTTTCGCATCTACCGGCGCAGAAGCTTCAGGCGATGTTCTGCGTTTCTTTGCCGGAGGAGGTGACATTTTGTAGTTGGATGGACTTGTGATCAAAACTTGGAGTTTTGGTATCGAACCCGAATCACGCCTGTTACTTGGTCCCTGGTTGCTATTGACTTTTGGGTGGAGGGTCCTTGCATGAATCAAGTCGAGCGGCGATATTCTCACGCCTCTCACGCTACTTTGTAGGACAGAAAGTCAAGCTAATCTTGTTTTGGTGTGAGCGTAGACATATTTAGTCAAATCATGGTGCAAGTTACGAATCTAGGGGGTGCTTAAAAATTTCACTGTCGCCACGGGTAAAAGTGGTCGCGACTCCGATGCTGCTGTGGCTGTGGAGCACCGCCACAGCTGCAAATACCTACAGGGTCTGTGAAATGAATTCCCACTTCCCCAGAAATCGAAGGGTGCTAAGGCAACCGCTAAAACTCCCCGAGAGTCGGGGAAACCGGCCAGCGGGACGCCGCTGGGTCCACTGATTGTCCTTCTATTCTAGGGGCTCTTACAGCGATGTCAGTGGGAAGGAGTGCAGTAGACTCCGCTGTAGGTACTCCCGCCAGGCTCCCCTCCTCAATGGAGAACCCCCAGGTTTTTGATTCATCTGCCGGCAAAATGTGACATCGGGATGTGAGCAAATTGGAAAATTTCCGTTGCAACTCTGGCTTTTGCGCTCATTCATCACACGTCACCCAGAACTGCTTCCACGCGTCTGGGCAGACGAATGCGCCAGTGTCGCCAAATCAGTGAAAGACCAAGAGGTCGTATTGGAACATAACTTGAATTGGTGAACCGACAGCTCCAGAATGAGGCGCTCCCTAGTTTCAAGACGGTCCCAGTTCGACCCGTCGAGCGCGAAGAGACCAGGATGGTGCCTCGAGAGGGGCTATTCTGGAGGCTCGTACCCCAATATCAAAGATCATGATCTGAAAAAAGAGATTGAAGATCGGGAACTTCAAGGTAGATTCCAAGTTGGCAAACCATTTACGCCAATGTTCGACCCGAATGGCCACTACGCCTTCCATATAGTGACACCCCGGGAGCAGAGAAAGGATCTGCCGCGTCAACTGAGGACCGATGAGCTGTTCCAGATGCCCGACATCATCCTTGATCTTGACGCGTATGGCGCAAAGGACGTCCGCGAAAGTGACAATGAGGATGAAAATACCATGGCCAGTATCTGGGCTCATACGGAACAACAGAGATCCGTTCAGTCGCGCCTCGAAGACCTGAAGCAGATGATTGGGGAGTCCCGAGAGACTCGGAGCAAGGTGTTATCTAGCTCGACGAACCCATGGCGCATCACCTCTCACGACGTGATCTCTACAGCTCTTCGAGGCCTCGCACCCTTAGAGGACTCAAGGGAGGATGGTGCACTGGACGGAGAATCTGACACCCTTCGTATTTCCACTCTGACTTACGCCACGCCGGACCAAGGGGCTCAGATGAAGAAGTATCAGAGTTCTCATCAACGATTAACCAGTGAGAAGCAAGGAATGCCTGTCTCTGACCAAATCGATCCTCGTCGGAATCCCGACTTTCTCGAACAAGTACGAGCACACAATGGCATTCCACGGCATGCTGCCCAAAATAACGAGCTTCTGCTGCGATGGGTGCTGAGCCGACGGGATTCGCTCCGGTTCGACCAGATCAAATCCCAGAAACAGCAACCATCCGCGCAGCAAATTGCAAGTGAGTTGCGGGAACAAGATAGCATCAACGGGATCAGAAGAGTTGTGTTCCATAGCCTGAGCGCCAATGCGGACCTAAACTTGGATCCATCGGCCCAGGACGGGGAACAAGGAAGTGTTCCCCAAGAGATCCGAGATGCTTGTGTTCGAGTGATGGACGCATCACCAGGACCTGAAGCGTACTTTGATACCTTGGAGTTTGTCAACAATCTCAGCTATAGGCTGCCGCGTATGCGCAAGAACCTAGAAGCATGTATATTTGTACTCCGGCTGCGATGTTTGGCTCGACTAGGCAAACTCGACCTGGCAGTCAGACAACTTCAAGGTAGAATCACAACTGGCATGCTAAACAGCAAGCTGAACATCCTTCCGGATATAAGAACCAGCCTAGAATCTTGGAACAAGGTGGCCGGCGAGACAAAGTTGCTGGAGCATAAATCTCAGCGCCAGCTTTTGTTCGCCATCTTAACAGGCTTGGGTGAAAACTCGCCGGATGGGGCCTCCCTCCGAGGTTTACTGTTCGATTCTGGTTATCCAGCCTCAGAGTTGCAGAGCGAGGAGAGACAGGAGGCATACGAGGAATACATCCTTCTTCTAGGACGCGTCGGTGCTCTACGGACTATTTGGAGGGAATGGAGGACATACACTTCGAATCTCTTTCAAGGATACAGCTTGACACATGTTAGCAAGACCACGACAGGAGAAGCACAGATCCAAAACGTCTTCTCCCGTGCGTTGCCCATAGCCCTCTCAATCGCCGGTCCGGAGTACTTTGCACAGCAAGGGAGCGCAAACCCAGACCCAGATTTGGCCGAATGTCAGAGAATGGACTTTGAGTGGATCGTCAAGGGAATAGCGCCGCCCGCGGAGCAGCAAACGAATTTCCCGAAGCAGCCCACGAAGATATTTACCACAGACGAGGTCAGGAGTATGATGGGGCCTCCGCTGAATGACTCGCTCGAGGCCATGGAAAGCCACCGCCGAGCACTCCACACGGAGCAGTAGACCCAAAGAACCACCGCACAAGTCCGCAACTAAGACGCCGCCAACCTTGAGCCTAATTCCATGTCCTCCTCCACGGGGGAGGGGGCCGTTGACCGCCCGACAAATGAAAAAATTTTCAACCCTCAGACCGACATCTCCAAGAGCTGCGTTTGTGGTTTCTGGTCGACTGTCCACCTACCAATAAGTGGCCGGCCTGCATTAATACCGGCCTGGCACCGCCTTAGGGGGGGATATTTGAGTGGCGAACCGGCGTCCATTGGCCTGTTCCGCGGCAGTCATCTCCGTCCTTACATACGAGGATGCCGTCCCGTCCATAGTTCGTTACGGTGTGACTCTCATAGCGTACATAATACAATTACCTAGTGAAGCTTGCAATTTTTGCACACCGTTATCTGTGTAGTCCACCTTGTAATGGGTAATCAAAGGATGTCACAGTTTTCTGGAGTTAGATTACCACTTTCGGCCCAGGACCGTTTTTTTGACCCGACGGTAGCCTCGCCCATCGGCACAGGGGTGGACCGGAGGCTGGTCCATGGCATTGCAAGCAAGATTATGCAATTGGGCTCTTGACCTGGATATTTTCACATCTGTCTCGCCCAATGGCCTTCGTTCATGGTCTGGAGAGTGAGCGAGTGAAGGCAAACCCTCGACCACGGCAGGTGGATCCCGGGCGAGCGGGCTACATACGAGAGAGGGAATGCTGGGTCCCAATCATCCGTGGGTCGGGGGAATGTGATGGAGCCCGCAGAGCGGCAAGATGCTGCACGGGATGCTCGATGGCATTCGTCGACGGCGGGGAGGGGAGATGGGTGACGAGGTCGCAACGTGCCCGTTTCATGTTACGCCCTGTGGATCTGTGATCTCAAGAGCAAAGAGAGAAGAGATTCAGATGTCATCCACGTCAGACGACAACTCAGCTAGCACTCCTACTCTACCCGAGGGCCCCGGAGCCAGTGGACATTCAGAAAGTCCTGTCTTACGATTTGTCAAGGCCGAAGAGTGAAACTGCACAGTCGGGTTCCAAAGTCCACAATAGCATCATAGCACCTGGTTGGGAAAGTAGTCGGACGTCTGTATGCCTGTGTAAGCCAGCACGTTGCCCAGAAGCCACAGACCAAACGCGGGTGCGCCACTAGCCAAGCAGCCAAGAATGTGCATGGCCAACTGGACAGGAGGCTTCTCCAGAAAGGCCTTTCTTTAGCTCAACCCACAAGCCATTGGAATCACTTGAGCTGTTGGACAGTGGGAGGGTATCCACCACGCCCGTGAGGGAAGACCCGGCACTTGCGGTTGGGCGGATCTTCCCTCTCAAGATTAAGTGCCTCGCATTGGCCCACCATCTCCTAGACGCTGGACGGCCTTGGAGGCGACCCAAGGTCCGGGGGAATGCTGAGCCCTGATGGCGGCACGTTGTATTGGCTCCATCCTGCACTGGGTCCAGAGATGCCAGTGTTTCAACGTGGGATGCTTCGTGTTGTCACGGGCGGGTTGTTTTCCCATGACAGCGCCCGCATGTCCAATGTACATCGGTAATGTGTATGACTGATGTGCGATATCGTGGCCGAGTCATTGACCAACGACATGAGAAATCCACAAGAGGCAGGCCGCTACCAAAGCTAGTGCTTCTCCAGGCCGGCTGGACTGGTAGTGGAAACTTGGGATTGATTAGCCGCAAGCTCACACCAATGGCCAGCGGTCACCTTTCACCGAAATTGAGCTGGACTGGCAAGGTTGGCTGCAAAATTTTTGATGTTGCAGACCCCTGCTGTCGGTGGCGATAAGATGGGACAAGAGGAATTGAGCAATGAATGAAACACTGCTTGACGGGGACAACTGCTTCCGGGAAGGGCAAGGAGAACGTTGATGGGGGCCTTGCAAGGGAAACGGCCTCAGCCCGTTGGGGTGATATGTCCAAACAGTAGCCCCATGACTCGGGATCAAGCCCTTGCAGGAGCCCGCGTCCTCGAGAGATAGGATCAATGGGGGCACGATGCCCTCGTCAAGGGGTCCGAGGCAACTGGCGAGGCCTCGGGGAGGAAAAACCGCCCCTCCTGCATGCGGCATGGTATGATCCCCCTCGCTGTGTGGTCCTCACGATAGGGCCTTTTTTTATTTATGAAAATTCAGCCTCCACCGCCCGCCCCACACAGAGGCCACCAACCGATACCCATCCACCGGGCTGGTTATGGAACTACTTGCCCAGAAAGGGACCCGAAGGACCTTATCGAAGCGCAAGCCATGGTCTGATGTTCGCCAAGCCTGGAGCGAGGTTCTAGGCGACATCAATATTGGCCTGTTGACCGCCGCATCGTGTTGGCTCTCTGCTCGGCCAGCCAGGGACAGGAAGCTGGGGCCAGGCACTAACACGGGTTGGCCGGAGGCGTAGAATCTGTCCCGGACGGTCCAGGAAACCGGGGGCCGTTGATCTGCGCTGCTGGATGGCACTCCTGATAATGCGAGTCTGTATGTATGTAGAAAGATGCGCAATCACACAAGAAAGCAGCGATATCTGGTGCTCACGAGGAAGACTGTCGTGATAAGCTGCGAGCTCCAGGAATAGTAATCCGAGCTGCTCTGCCCAGCGGCAAGGCCTGAGCTGAGGCACCCCCAAGGCGAGACTAAAAGGCTCTGCAGGCGAGCGAATGCAACGATGTTCCGTTGGTGGGGAGGTCGGATAAGTCCGCTGGGCAGGCAGGGGTCGAAGCGCAAGGAACAGAGCCAAAAAGCGACAGCAGGAGACGTGCAGGGTGGTATTCTTTCACATTTGGCGGTTCTGATTGTGCAATTCCAGCCTAGCGAAGTGCTAGACCAGCAGTCTTCCTCACTGTACCCCGGGCGGTAGCGCAAGGTCCAGGTGGTTCTGTGCACTGATCCCTGGGGTTAATTGGCCGATACCCGCCCCCACGCACTTCTGGCGCTGTCTGGAAGCTACTGCAGAGCCAGCTGAAAAGATCTGCTGGGTGTACCTGGAGACTGGAGGATGTTACCCGTGGTGGTCCAGAATTGCCATGGATCTTGGTCTGTACGTCTGTCGCTAGGCACGGCATGTACATGAGAGATAGGCAATTAACATCAGCCGAGGTAGCGCAGAGCGTCTATGCCATGTACATGAGGCAGGATTCTAAGTGTATGCGCAGGACTAACCAAGCCACAGGCGCTTCAGAATAGTGCTGCCTGCGACGATGATGCGTAATAGTATGTACTTCGTCACCTCGAAGGGGGCTTGCGCAATGCTCACAGCGGTGACGATGTGTACATGTACGGGGACCCGGAAAAAAACCTTGAAAAAACCAACCAAAGGCAAAAACCCTCCGCTATTCAATATCGCAGTGAAGAGAACTATAAAACAATCAACGGTGGGTGCCAGGATTTGAAAATTCTCCTAAACCTTGCTCTGGTAGTGCTACATACCGACTGTAGCCAGGAGATAGCGCGTAGCAGATACATGGGCAGGCCTGCCAGGACACCCTTTTCCGGCCAAATTGTGGCCAGGAGGGTACATGCCTGCAGTTTGCTCGATGGGCATCTGGGGGGACGATGCATTATTGCACGTCCCGCCCATGGCTGCTGCAACAATATCTGGTTGGGGTAAGATGATGGATGGCGGCCGCATGCAAGCCACATTTTGGCGTGGACGAATTGGAGCCGCAACTGGGCGGATTTGGCACCAGACTGGCGCAATAAGATGTAATGATGACCAGGCCATGAGAACGGCGCCCCTGGCCGCAAGACGACGGTTCGTTGGCAAGCTGCGTGTTAGGTGAAAACGTGCTCAGCAGGGTGGATGAGATGAGGTCAGACGACAGCCCAAAGCCACAGCCAGTTAAAATTTGCATCCGCTCCTGGCCCAGAGCCCGTCCAGATGGTGCTGCGGCAGGTTGCCTTGATTGGCCGGGGTGGCGGACACGTCAAGTACTGTGACTATCGGCATCTACTTGAGGTTGTGTGCATGCAGACGCCCAAATCCCGGTAGCTCGAGGTAGTCCCCCCACACGCATAACCAACTGATTGCACTAAGCTAGGCCGTGGGTGCATGAGTGTGGAAGTGTAAGTGCAGGTGTCCGCATGTACATGCATCTCGCCGAGCCACTCCTACATTACGGCCATGTACGATGTACATGGCCGCCAGCCGCGAGCACCTCATTGAGCGCCCCCGCCCACACGCACGGACAGACAAGGTGAAGTAGCACCTACTAGGGCAGCATGGGCTTGGGCTAAAAAGCAATTTTTACGTGTGCCTGTACCTGACAGCGGGACAATATGGTTCGTGGATGTCGTGATTGTACCATTTTATGGATATTATCCATCAAGGGAAGATGGCGTTATGTATGTCATTTCACTACCGGCCAGGCTTCCCCAGACCGACCTCACCTACCTCAGTTGTACATAGCAGACGTCCGCTTCCTGTTTCTCGCTCCCTCTTCTCACCGTCCTCCTCTGACTTCCCCAAGCGTGAGCTGATGATAGGGCTGCTGCGGAACGTATTACTGCATGACAAGGCTGCTTGTGTGTGTGCTTCTTTTCTTCCATTTTCTCACACCGAACGAACCCAACCTTAAAGTGCAGCCTCTAAGCCGCAGCCTCGGGTCACAATACCGTCATCCAGCAAGTCAGAAGAAGAAAGTTCCTGGTACCAACGCCCTTGTTGCCTTACACACACCCTTGCTCTGATCCGTGCAAGGAACCTATTTGTTCATTGCAATTTGTGGTGATTTATGCCGGGCACTCCCCCCATTCTTTGTACCTACCTACCTACTACACAAACCACTGTCCTCCTGAGAGGCCCTTAGCATCACACGCCCAGCACATTGGCCGTTGATTGGCTTAGAGTCACCCTCGAGACAGTTCTCCGCTTTCGGTTCCCTCTCAGTCAATCACGACAACGAGAAGAGTCACACGCAATCGTGCAAAAATCAGACAGGCCACTCCAGGCCGCCACGATAAAACTTTTTCTCCCAGTGGAATTTACTTTATCGAGTCCATTCTTCCCTCTTTTTTTTTTCTTCTCTCCCCTTGGTTGTCAAGATCGACAAGCATTCTTCGCTACGCTTTCGTCCAGCATTGGCCCAGCGTTTCCGCCATCCTTCTCCCAACAGGTCACTGCTACTTAACTGGGTACTTGCTAGCCGTACCCCGACTCCCGCTCTCCTGCACGTACCTCTCTGAGGTACCTCGACCTGAGACCTTGACAGGTACCGCGTACCTGACCGTTCTTATCTCGACGGCGCCGACGCCTGGTTCCTCCTACCTTTCCTAGCAGGTACCACCCGCACTTTTACGAGGTACATGCCCGGTATCAATCTCTAAGTCGCAATCTTCGTGGCTTCGTCTATCATCAGCTGCATTGTGTGCATCAATCACCGGACACTTCTCTGCGTGCATACATATACACGCGCATCCCCATCCATACATGTCCATCACTCTCGCTTCAGCACCACTGACGACATCCCACATCCCCCCCCATTCTTCTGGACTGAGCAGGGCAGTTCTTGGGAACTCGGCATTACTGCAATTGCACTATCCTGATAGCCCGCCGCCAATCTCGGCTTTCTTTATCTAGCTGGCGGTCTCTAGCTGCTGTTCTTGGAGCCCTGTCGATCATCCCACCACCAACAGCTGATAGCCCCTTCTATCTCACCCTCCACAACACCTTGCTCGCACCCGGAGGGTTCGGGCGCAATTTCGTGACCACTCGCGCGGTGCTCTGCAGGGAATCCACCTGCGTGTTGGTCCTGCTCCCCCATACATACATAGTGACTCTCCCGCCCAGCGGCCTTCCCACCTGGGCTCCTTACCACTGGTTGCCATCGTCAACCAGTGTCTCGTCTCTCGCCTAATTCACTACCCCTCAGGTACCCTCGCATCAGCACACCCTCTCGCTATCCCTCACATCTTATCTCGACAAGACCAACACTCAACCCTCAACCCCATTGGACCTCGCCATTGCTCATTGACAGCGCGTCCTCGAAGGAGGAAAAAAGTGGTTTTGGTTACACATCAATCCCTGTCCATTACTCTGTAGTAGGACCAACCTTCTCCGACTTCGGCCTCTCTCGCCCTATGGTCCTGCAGCAGCTCGACCATTGATAAGCCCGAGATGCCTCACCAACGCCGAAAGTCTGGCAGTGCGTCCACTTCAGACATGCGAAAATCCGTAACTGTAACAGATATGACGAAGCATCGACGGCCCGGCCTGTCACGCAGGCAAACACCTGTCACCGGCCAGAAGCTTGGCAAGAGCCAGCGGGAGCGAGAACGAGAATGGCATGAAGCCTTTGACGACGAACGTGAGAGCTTCCCACAATTCTGGTAAGTGTTCAGGTTCCTCCCGATGTCAGGCGTTTTCAGAATGCTCCGTCTCTCCCTCTCTACCCAGAAGGGGGCTCGGGTGATGACTTTGTGCTGACAGAACTCAACTAGCATGACTTGCGAGAAGCAATTCGTCCCCTACGATGACAAGCACCTCTACTGCTCCGAGAAGTACGCCGCTCCCTGCCCTCTTCCTGTTCGCAGCGTCCTGTGAAGGGCGTTGTGCGCCAGAATGTATCTCTCGTGCTAACATGAAGAATTAGCTGCCGAAGGGTCGATCAATCGTCGTCAGCAACGTCCTCGATGCCTCGAAGCTATGGTTATGGAAACTACCCTTTCTACTCGGCGGGGGAGCCTGAGCCTCGGGATATCATTCCTCAAGCTTCACCTTCTCGTCCCAGCTCCACGATCTACAACCATTCACCCCCAACCCCAACTACGCCGGCTACAGCGTCGTACCACACTTCGGCACTCTCGGCGCTCCGATCAATAAATGCGCGGCCACCAAGCCCTCCCTCGCCATCGGCAGGTGGCAGCAACTTCTGGCCATTCGGCAACCGAAGTGCTGCAACTAGCCCAAGCACCTCCTATTCTCGGCCCACTGCGACGTACTTTTCGTCCACGTACGACGTTGGCTACAACAATGGCGGCTACTACACATACGATTACGGATCGAATGGCATAGATCGGCCACTTCCCACCCGCCGACCAAGCCATGCCCGCCCAAAGAGTATCGAGCTCGTTACTCCCATGGTCGGTGGGCGGTAGTCGGTGCATACGGATGGTCGCTAATGGTGCCATCTCGCCCCAAGCGCCGAACCTGCCTCCGCTCCGGATTAGGGATCACCGTATTGCACAGGTGTCTGCCGACACTAGTGTGGGTGCCTAGCTCTTCGGGCTGGAGATGGTCCTGTGCATGAGGAGCTGCTGGGTCATGGGCTTCATTCAGCTCAGCGATCCTTCAGCAACCCCCCTTCCGCACGCTACCCCGTGTACCATGTGTGACCTGCGAGTGCGGGGCTGCAGGACCTTTGCATGCCAGGCAACCCAACACCATCCGATAAGACAGTGAGCCTACGGCAACAACTAGCATGTCACCGGGACGAGACCTTTCGGGCTGAGGGTCCTCCCAATATTTACATCACCCGCGCCTTGGCGCATGTGTTATCATGAGGACGAAGAGGCGTCCGAAAAAAAGTTTATTGATTTTTCTATCATTTGTTTTTGCACCGGGTTTCAAGTGCATCATCATCATCACATTTTTCCGGAGCTTGGGACGGCATTTTGCTTTTTTTTAAACTTGTTGTTTTTTACACATCCCTCCTCGGCTACCACCCACATATTTTCATGGTGGTCCGAAGGGCAGGGCATATCTCCCATCACGATTCACGAGGCTTCATTATCCCTTTAGGATACTTGTTTGATATTTGTTTCTTGTGTGACATTGTTTTTATTACATTTTGTTTTGGGTGGACTTGTACCACATCTCATATTTCAGCAGATGCATCAAGGCATAATATATATATATATACTTAGATTTAACATGGCATTTTCAGCGGACATGTCCATTCTGACGGATGGACACTGCATTGGAGAGGACGAGTTTGCCTGCATGAGGAAGAAGGGTCTGGGGTGGAAAGGCAGAGACTGATGAATACAATTCATGAGCGAAACGAACATGTTGGGGAGAAGAACAGGACCCGAGAATTGTTTTGCGAGTGACCAATCATCAGAGTTGTTTAATTCCCGTCATTTTTACATCTTGTTTTAGCATGTTTTAGGACCATTGGGTTGGCATTGGCTTCATTAGCATTAGGATAAACCTGTCTCATCTCGAATATACAGACACACACGCATGCATTCACATAGATGCAAGCGCACAGAGAACCCCACCCTCAGCTGGCTCGAGAAGGTTGTGTATGCGCTAGCCGCTCAACCGGCGCACTATCTATCCTGTCTCTTGTACGTTTTCGAGATGTGATATGATATGAGACAGTAACGCATGCGGAGGTAGGTAGTCGCATATCCCAAGTCCACGCCGCGCTATATCAACGGCTTGCTTAGTCGGGCGCGCTACAGCTGTGCCTCACCAGTAGTCTTCTGGCCTGCTTATCTGCCTCTAGTCTCTCTCCCCTTTTGCCTCTTTCTGCCGTCCCAGCTACATGGCAGATAAAAGGCGGGGGTTTAGAGCGATGTGCATGGTATGAATCGTGCGGGGGGGGCCTGGGGGGCTCGGTCTTCTACCTAGACAAGGTCCAAGGGGCTCGGGATGGGATAGTGGGAGATTGAAATTGAAGGGAAATAAAACGAGACAAGGGCCGAACGTGGCAGTTCTGCTGCTTCGAGATGCGCGGCGGGCGGGTTTCCCATTTCGGCCGTATCTCTGGCGTCGTTGCGATACGGCCAAATCCAGTCCCGCTCTGCGAATCACTCTGGGGGCAATCCAGTTTTTTTTTAATCTCTCTCTGTCTCTTATCTCATCTCTTTCCTTCTCGTGACTGCACTAGGCAATGGGGGGGGTTTCAGCAGGGCGTTTGGACATGAAATGCTGCTCACTTGTGGGGAACGGCAACCACATCATGTGAGGGTCCCCCGAAGCTAGAGGAATGTCTTAGCCCTGGGCATCAGCTCTGGCTTTGGGGCCCCGTTTTCCACATTGGTTCCTTTTTTCTAGTTTCAATTGATTGTATTTTTTTTTCCCCTCGCGTGCTTCCATGCTATCCCTACGTAATGAGACAGCGCCCCTTCCCCCTCGCTTGAGGGAGAGACAAAAAGGGCGGCGTGGGGAAAAGGTGTTGGTCGTGACTGCGAGCCAATCAGCCTGAGATCCGACCACCGGCCCCGACTGACTGAAGCAGGTGGTAGCCATGTGGTCGCACTGGCCCCCATTCCCCTGGCTTGGAAGGGATGGGAAGGGAAAAGGGAAGGGCGTGAGAGAGAGAGGCACGTAATCCGTATCTATTCCCAGAACCAAACGCTCGGTTCCGCCCCCTCGGTAACCGGTGTGTGTCTGTGTGTGTGAGTGGTGCCCTTGGGATCCTTTGCTTAGGCGCCGGCCACCGCACACCCAAGAGTGAGCAAGCGAGATATGCGCGGATGAGGCGTGGTAACGTAGCTTGTGCCTTTTTGTTCGGCCATGACGACGATGACGGCCGGTATGATAGATGACCAAGCTGACAACCACATCAAGTGGGGAAACACCGAGATTGGGACCTTTTTCTCGTTTCCTTCTTTCGTCTTACAGGTTTTCCTCTCCAGGGGAATCACGATCAGTGAATCCATCACATCACAGTGCCTACACTAACTGGACTTGGGAACGATATCAAGGACCGAAATTGAGGCTAAAATAACCCGCACATGTGACCACAAGCGCAAGGGAGTATAGCATGTACATGACACGGCATCAGATAGTACATTACGCATAACGCATACGCCCCGGGGGAAAACACTCCGAGGAGAAAAAAGAAACCATGGAAGCCGCATTAGCTGATCAGAAACTGCGGGGGTGGGAAAAAGCAAAAGTGCATGTAATTTAGTGCCATGGATAGCGCCCAGCCACCCAGCGACCTGCGTTGTCACAAAGTCACAGGACCTGACCTGTCGACTGGGCTAGCGGGATTTGAAGCCATCGTGAGAAACATCGTGAGACGGGGGGGGGCGTCGGCCAGGACCGGAGCTTCACCGGGGAGGGGGCGAGAGACATGACTGGTCTGGACAGGGAGGATTTGTCATATGATCTTGCTCAGCAAAGCCCGCGATGAGGAATGGGCCCGGGGCCATGGTTGACGCCTGACGTGTTGTATTCATCGTCCCAGTTACCGTTCAATCACCTGGCAGTATGTACATCACATCCTACCTTGTCACTGTTACCAGGTTGCTCTATGTATTCCTTGGCCCCCACACATTGACTTACCCCATTCCATTTCATCATCTACCCCGTTGCCAAGAATAACGCTTTGGGGGCTAGGATTCGGATGGAAGACCGACAAGGAGAAGCGAAGGGAGACGGCCGACTCGGGCTTGCAATAGCGGTAGCACTAGCATGGGAGTTGTCCATAGTTCCAAATACTCAATCACAATCAGCATGGGGCTCCTGCACGGTGACAAAACATTCAAAACTCCCATTCAGCTTTTCCTATGTATTCCCCACAGACTGCTCGATGCCCCTAATTGGTGACACCAAGTCAAAGGAGGTGCTTCGGTGATCCTACTTCCACAAACGCTCAATGTTATGACGCTCCACTCCTTCGGCCTACTTACTCAGTAAGGCTTGATACAAGTGATTGCTCCCTGCATCAATCCCGAGTTTCCCCCTTCCCAGCCTTTTCTCCATCTGTCTCTTCCCTCCCCCATGTTTCTTATGTCGACTGAGACGCAGTCAAGGTAAATGGCCAAGAAAATAATGTAATATACAGCAGCCAGCTCCTTCAGGGGAGTATGGAAATTAGAAGCGACAAGAAGAAAAATATAAAAAAAGAATAAAAGACTGGTCCGCCCATCCATGAACATAACCAGCTCTCAACTCCGGACCCGTGGTGGTAAATGATCATTCCCTTCCTGTGTAGATGGATGCCGAAAAGTAAGATGGGCAAAAATATATATATTCTCGTATATGGAAAACTCAAGCATACACGCCCCTTGATGTATTGCTCGTTGGTTCTGGAACCCCTCCTTTACTGACCTGCGGGTCTCGAGCTGGCCATTTCTCCGTAACGGCCACGGTGTTTGGTTGTGTCGTAGGCCTGCAGGACACGAGTTTGACTCTCATCGGCCTGCGAGAAGGCATAGCCACGCTGCTTGCGCATGCGCTGGACTTGCCGTACCTTTCGGATTGCCTTCTGGAATTGTTCCATCCTACACGCGCGGTCAGCATCATGATTATCTGTGTCTGATGAATAGGATCCGTAACTTACCTAGGCCTATAGTCCTGGATGTTATACTTCTGAATCTCCTGGATGTGATGGTACGTCTGTGGGAAGTACATCCGCTTGACGTATTTCCATGCAATGTCGCGTGAAAGACTCAGGAAGGCAAGAGCAAACATCTGCAACCAGAATACAGGGCTGGAGTACAACCTGGGGATGATGCCGTACAATTCGTTCGACATATTGATCATAGGTCCAATGTAACTCAGCGCAACCAGAAGCACCCACCAGATAGCCATACTACCTGGGATGGCAATGATGTGGTATTTGGTCCAGTTACTCGTAATAAGCGCTGCCTTGCCGAGAGTTGTGAGCAGGATCGTGTTGTACATGGCGGTACCCCAGGTCCAATGCCCAGCGATCCGACCGTCGCCCTGGATCATGTCTCCCCACCAGATCAATACTCCAAAGACGTAGATAATGATGGATTGGTAGATAGCATTCAGCGTCCACTCTGCAAAGATCTTGAGTCTAAAATGCGAGTTGCTCTGACCCATCATATAGAGCTGGGGGTATCGATCCAGGAGGCGAGCAGAGATGAATTGATCAAGGACACCGAGCACCAATGGGGGCAGGACAGTGAAGAAGACGTTGTAGCCTGACAGAATCCAAGACTCGAAGATAATTTGCCCAGAATAGGCATTCTGGAAGACGTACCAAAATTGTGTCATGTACAGAGCGATATTCTTGTAGAACGAGAACAGAATGGTCTTGCTCACACGCTGGTAACTCCAAGCACCGTGAACAAGTAAGAGTTTGCGCAGGAACCTGAACTGGGCAATGGCGACATCAGCACTGCGAGCAGCCTGGAGGCCCTCTTCACCGCTGATACCCACACCAATG